ATGACACATGGAATCAAGTTGGCAGTGTTCATTAGGGGTGGGAACCTAAGGGTACCTCACGATACGATACGATACACGATACAAAGCTCACGATAACGATAATATCACGATATGACGATTATTGATATATTGGTCAGAAATATACAATATGCCAATTTATGGCATAAATAAAAGAAAAAATACTCTTTATTATATGATACATAAAATGGAGATGCGTAATGTAGCTATGTATTAAGTATTGATACCAATTTTTTTTTTAAAAGTTTAAAACGTTTTTTTTTTTTTTTTCAAAATCGATATTGATACTTGGCAAATGCATATCGATAATCGAATCGCGGGAGAAAGTATCGTCACACCCCTAGTGTTCATTAGTCCTTATTGTTTGTTGTACAGTCTGACAGCAGCAGGAAGGAAAGACCTGCAGAACCTCTCCTTCACACAGCGAGGGTGAATTAGTCTGTCACTGAAGCTGCTCTCCAGAGCAGACAGAGTGTCCTGCAGGGGGCGACAGTCATGGTCCAGCATAGATGTTAGTTTGTCCCCACCTGCTGCACTGTGTGAACAAGTCTGGTATTGGGTCAATATTTGTCATTGCATATTTGTTACTAGTGACAAAGTGAGTTTATAGAAATAAATAATAATGAATTATACAATCTGAAATATTCAGTATATTATTTGATTTGTTCATTTGTGAATCCTTTGGCGAGCTACCTGGAAGGGGGTGGAGAGCTACTGGTGGCTCCCAAGCTAGTTTATTTGTATTGCACAATTCATACACAAGGCGACTCAACGTGCTGAACACAACAAGATGGCACATAAATAATCACAGTACTTTAAAAAGAAAGATAAAAATATAAAATCCCTCCGTTTCAGGTTGGAGACCCTGAAATGGAGAATGTTTCAAAAAGTCTAATTGTTTTGATTGCTTATGTATTCATTTCTTTTTGAAGTATGTTGAAGAGGGGTTTGTTATTTTAAATTTTGATTTGTGTATTTGTTATTTGCCCAGAAATAATTAACAGATTAAGTTAGATAGATTAAGTTGTATTTGGTGTTGTACTTGTTAAAGAAAGCAAAGAGCACATGTTGATAACAGAAGGGATTTTGGGGATGAATCTTTTGGCTCTTACCCTTTCCCAACTCTGTCAGAGAGAACTGCACAGACCTCACTGAAGAGTAACATAAAACTCTCCCTGTTCAGTTCAGTCGTTCCCTGCCCCCACAGTAACTTAAAGTGGTTCTCACCCCCGCTCCTCGGAGCTTACGTCACTCACATTTCCTGTTCAAATCTTCCTCTAAATGGGCGTGGCCTGGAGGACTAAAGGGGGCGTGAACGAGACTGGGCCGTTTACATTGCTCTGGGCGGGGGGCTGCAGACGTCAGGTCCAACTTCTGTGCCAGTGTTGGCGCCAGATTCAAAATTCAAATGTAGTAATACAGGTCGCCAGCAGATGGCGCCTCACAGACGGTTTTAGGCAGAAAGTCTAACTTTAAACTAATTTGCACCAAAGTGACAAGATTATGACCAGGATATGTGGACAACACTATTGGACACTCATTTATACCGTTTATCAGCAAAAAAAAGTGGATTTGAGGGTGAGTTGTCCTTTAAAGCAGCACCTTTAAGAGGCCTTTCCCCTTAGTGTGGAAAGTTAAACCATATTTACAGTCAAAGAAAGAGCAACATTTCTTGAACTAGAAGTCCTCCTCTAGAACCAAAAACACTTTGTGCAAACCAGCTCACAGGAATCTGAAAAACACTTGTACTTGTTTCTACACTATCCAAAACGAGACTCATCAGGGGCTTTTACCGGCGAGTCTGATAAAAACTAGATTCTAATTGTAAAACCAAATGGAGAAAGGATTCTGTTTGTCAGTGTGTTGAAGTATCTGTTTTCTGTAGGAGCGAGATGAGCATCGAGGTGATGAGAGGAGAAGGAGAAACGAGCCCACAGACGAGAGGCGGAGAGACCGGTCTCGCGACAGAGGAAGGGACCAAGACCGATCTCGAGACCGAGAGAGGCCACATGACCATAATCGTGGCCGAGAGAGGAGAGGCGACAGAGGTACGTTTGCCTCGCAGCAGGCGGAGCGACAGCAGCACGAAGAGCGGCGGCGAGAGCAGCGTCAGAGACGAGAGGAAAACCAAGAACCAGAGTTTGGTCAAACAGAGGAAAGCAACGAGGACTCTGCTCCTGCTGCCGACAAAGAAAAACCCAACTTTGAACTGTCCGGAGCTCTCACAGAAGACACCAACACCTTCAGAGGAGTCGTTATCAAATACAACGAACCTCCAGAAGCTCGGATTCCTAAAAGGAGATGGCGGCTGTACCCCTTTAAGAACGACGAGCCGCTCCCCGTCATGTACGTCCACAGACAGAGTGCTTACCTCATGGGGCGCCAGAGGAAAATCGCTGATATCCCCATTGACCACCCGTCCTGCTCCAAGCAGCACGCAGTCTTCCAGTACAGGTGAGAACAGTCCAGTCATGTGTCTAAATGAACATTATTGTGTTTAGAGGTTTAACTGATGTAATATGAAACCACAGGCTGGTGGGGTACACGAAGAAGGACGGCACCTCCGGCCGCAGGGTGAGGCCCTACATCATCGACCTTGGATCCGGCAACGGCACGTTCCTCAACAATCAGCGCATCGAGGCGCAGCGCTACTACGAGCTGAAGGAGAAGGACGTCCTGAAGTTTGGCTTCAGCAGCAGAGAGTACGTCCTGCTGCACGAGTTCTCCGACACCAGCGAGGTGGACGCGCCGCAGCGCGAGGAGGAAGACGAGGATGAAGGAGTGGACGAGGCGGGCGAAGAGCCAAACGAGTGATTTTCAAATGACAAATATTGTTTGGTCTGCTCTGTATTCGCCAAAATCTGTGGTTTCAGATGTGACTTTAACTTCTCAGGTGTTTCTGAATACAGTAGATCACAGATTGTACCACACAAACAGAGACATGTATATTTTTGGACCGTGGCGCCGCAGCTGGACGTGGATTATAAAACTTCAGGCTCAGTGTTTATAATGTACGGAGTGAAACTCTTATGGACATTACTCAGATGTTACTTTTGCATCGTGTCTGGTAGTTGTTGATGTCCCTTCAGTGAAGTAAGACAAACTTGTTTATTTTTCTCCATTTGCATATTGTAAATCAGAATTCTTTTGTACTGTAAATAAACATTGCAACATTTTGATATGTTTTATCTCAACTGTTTACTGTGAATGTGTGCATCATGTGATAATGTCATCTACGTTTACGGTCTTTCTGTGGCTCAACACGTTTAAGTCAATGAAAATAATGTAAATATTTCATTATTCGCTCCATACACAGAGGTGAGTTTATTATTTGCGTCCTCTTTAGCTAAACAGCCAGATCCTCTTCATGGGGCCCTATATTCAAAACATACAAGTCACAAAAAGGCCCCACCAATACAAACATTAGAGAGTAATGGGAGTAAAGTGTCTTGCAATGAAAACTGGTGTTCCTCGGTCTCCCTCCACAGTTGGTGCCTCAGCAGGCCCTGCTTATCTTCTGAGATCTGCCGGGACCAGGCTCCACATGCAGGTGGCGCCACAGATCTATAGTTCTGATCGTTCCGTGTTGAAGCCAAACTTCCAGAGACAGTAAAGCCCAAATCTCTGCAGAGGCCGCTCTCGTGTTTCGTGGGCGGGCCGCAGGACGCGCTGTGACTGGGTGAAGCGGGAGGAGGCGGTGACACACCTGGGACAGAGCCCAACTCTGTCCAACAACTTTTTCTGACATGCGTCAGTAGAGGCGGGCGTCAGGATGTACACCACGGAGCGGAGGCGCATGAGTCTGCGGGACTACAAGAGGAAAGACCCGGTCTGGGTCTCCACCAGCGCCGGGAGCCTGTGGGAGGACTCTCTGGAGCTCGGGTCCAGCACTAAAGCGCTCATCTCTCCCCGCAGCAGGACCAGACCCGTGTCCGTGGCCTACATTCTCAGCGAGGACGCGTCTGTGCCACAAACTCAGGCGTCTCTGAAGTGCGTGAAAGACGCGTGCGCCGAGGCCAACGCGCTCTTTAGCACCATCTCCTTCGGGCAGATCTCTCTGGGCACCACGGACATTCTGGACAGTTTCTATAACTCAGGTAAGTGCCACCGCAGTGCATGCAGGGAGCAGGAGCACCACGCCCCGCTGCTGCAGCGTCTGCAGTGTGTGACCATGTGTGTCTGTTCCAGATGTGGCAGTGGTGGAGATGAGTGACAGCTTCTGTCAGCCCTCTCTCTTCTACCACCTGGGAGTGAGGGAGAGCTTCAACATGACCAACAACATCATCCTGTACTGCTACAAACAGGACACGGACCTGCACGCACTCAAGGTACATGTTATAAATGTACTCTATAAAGTACATAGCACTTCTATCTTCAAAGTGCTTCACATCAAGTGAACTCTCGTCCTCAAACAGAACCACAGTAGGACCATGTGCTTTTTCAACTTTTGGGATGAATTTACCATAAATAAATCATACATTGTTTGCATCTGCTGTGGTTTTTTATAACTGGACCGAGGGGCTTAGAACAAAGAGCTAAAGAAGGACATGAGCTCACCTGTGCAGGATTAGGACAGTTCATGCTTCAGCGGCCGCAGCAGTGATCAGCTTTTCCTCCATCGTCTCCACTGCAAGAAGCAGTGGTTTTAGTTTGTTTTATTTCTGTACTTTTTACCTTGTTTAATATGTACTTTTCTGGTGCACACTGCTAATGTTCTCCAACGTGGTTTTACTGTGTATGGCAAAGAAATTAATCTGAATCCGGCTGAGTGGTTAGCACTCTCGCTTCTCAGCAAGAAGGTCCAGGGTTCAAATCCCGACTCTCTCTGTCTTTGTCTCTCTGTCTCTGTCTTATCTGTCTTATCTCTCACTTATTGATTTTAATGGATCAGTGCTTTTGTTTGTGTTATTTGAGACATGATAGTGAATGACGTCCTCCAAACACACTCCTGTTGTCAGTAAAAACACTGCTCTTGGCTCCGACAACACACTTCACTGATGTGTGAACCCAAAACAGTGTTGATTTTTCTCAGGACTTAGACATGTTCTCTTCTCCAGGAGCAGTGTGGCTCTTACACGTTCATCCCGTATGTGGTCTCGGCTCAAGGGAAAGTGTTGGCCTGTGACGCCACCATCATGACCGGCATCAAAGAGCTCATGAAGCCCTCTTTCCAGCTGGAGCCTCTCCTCACTCCTCTGGTGGAGAGACTCACTCACCTGCTGAACCACGTCCCAGTCCAGTCCAGGTAAAGCACTGGCCCGGTCCAGTCCAGGTAAAGCACAGGCCCGGTCCAGTCCAGGTAAATCACAGGCCCGGTCCAGTCCAGGTAAAGCACAGGCCCGGTCCAGTCCAGGTAAAGCACAGGCCCGGTCCAGTCCAGGTAAAGCACAGGCCCGGTCCAGTCCAGGTAAAGCACAGGCCCGGTCCAGTCCAGGTAAATCACTGGCCCGGTCCAGTCCAGGTAAAGCCCAGGGTTACGCCGTCATTATGTGTTTGGTTACGAGGTATTTCGCTACATGTTTTTGACTGTGTTGGTAATATTGTATGTGATGCATATGTACGTATTGCCCTCTGTGTCTCTCTCTCTCTCTCCCTGACTCTCTCTCTCTCTGTTGCTATCTATGTCTCTCTCTCTGACTCTACCTCTTTATGTGTCTCTCTCTCTGTGTCTCTCTCTGTCTCTCTGTCTGTGTCTCTCTGTCTCTCTGTCTGTCTGTCTCTCTCTCTCTCTGTCTGTCTCTCTCTTTCTCTCTCTCTGTCTGTCTCTCTCTTTCTGTCTCTCTCTGTCTCTGTCTCTCTGTCTCTCTGTCTCTCTCTTTCTGTGTTTCTCTCTCTCTCTTTCTGTGTTTCTCTCTCTCTCTTTCTGTCTCTCTTTCTGTCTCTCTTTCTGTCTCTCTTTCTGTCTCTGTCTCTCTGTCTCTCTGTCTCTCTGTCTCTCTCTCTCTCTCTCTGTCTCTTTCTGTGTTTCTCTCTCTCTTTCTGTCTCTCTTTCTCTCTCTCTGTCTTCCTATCTCTCTCTCTGTATCTCTAAGATTTCATGAATTCTTGATTGTTCCAGAATGTATGACTCAGACTGTATTTACAGTAGTGGGAGTTTATCTCTGAAATAAATAATAAATAATGTTGATACGAGTAACGGGCTCCACATCTAAAGCTCTCATTCTTTAAACTGACTCGTTCTTTCCTGGACGTCATTTTTGTCCAGAGAAAGTAGCTCTCTGGGTGAATCGAGGCTGGAGACTCCTGATTTTCAGCCTGGGTTTGGTGGTTTTACAGTGAGTACTTCCGGGAGTCAATCCGTCAGGACATTCGGACGGCCAGGGAGCGTTTCCGAGGCTCGGAGCTGACCGCAGAACTGAAGAGGATCGAGACCCGACTGGACAGTGTGGAGCTGCTCTCACCGGACATCGTCATCAACCTCATGCTGTCCTACAGAGACATCCAGGTGACGAACCACCTACTCTGGCCAAAAGTGGTACTGCAGCCTCTCCCACTCTCCCTGACTCAGGTTGCCAGATATGCAGACGAATCCAGCTGGGACCATAACAGCTGAATAGACAAGAGTTTTGTCAACAACAAATCTATAACCAACACCTTTTTCACAAAGATAGAAATCCTGGTTTTATTCCTTGTTTTGTCGTTAATGATTTGAGAATCATAAAGAGACCTTTTTTAGTTCTGCGCCACATGGTACTTTACCAGTGAGATTAGCTCCACGCGGTGAGTTCTGGCGCCGGGATCACAGACTTTCTGATTGGTGAAACGGTGGAGGGCGGGACATCGAAATGAAAACAATAATAAGATTTAGAGGCTGGAAAAGTCATTTAGAAATGTTCATATCCCTGAACTTCTGTTATCAGTTAAAGAAGTGTTGGAAAAGAACAGTTTTTATGAATGCCTTTTGACAGAATAGGGCCCTTTTAATGATGACTTAACATGGAAATCTTACATATTGCTAGTTTAAACCAACTAAGACAGGTCTGTTTGTAAAGCACAGTTCAAACACAAGATTAAGATTAATGGTTTAATGGAGGATTTTCCCAAATGTTCGGAAAGAACCGCCCACTCCACTTTTTCAACAAATCTCTCTGGTCTTATTGGACGAGCACGTATCACCAGAATGATTGACAAGTGGGAGGACCAATAGTGATGATCGACCTGGAAGTACATTTTTAATTCATCCCACAGCAGGGAAATTTCAGTGTTGCATCACAAGTTACAGAACAGTAGGAATGAGGAGCACACGGCACAAGATAACTCTATAGTAAAATAAAATAGAATCTCTAAATCTGGGTAAGGTTCACGAGTTAATGCTAAAGTTAGTCTCTTTAGTGTTGAGAGACCGAATTTAATATAAATGCTGTTTTGGGACAAAGCCATTTAGTTTTATTTCAAGAACTGTTGCTTTATTTTCTCATTCCAAGGAAGACATTTCTTGAATCTTTTTAACAACAAGTTTATTTTTGTCCCATTGGAAAAACGTCTTTTAAGGCAGTCAGAATGTGCTCAAGATAAAATACTTTTAGCCAAATTTAAGCAATTTTTCCCTCATTTTGAATCCCTGTTTGCAGCGTCACCTGCTTTTCCCAGGCTGCTTTGCTCTAAACCCTTGCACCTGCTCTGACATAAATATTACACTACAGATATTCAGTTCGGCGTTAGATTTCAGACTAACGAACCCGAAACCCGACCCTTCTCCCTTTTTGTTTTCAGGACTACGACTCCATAATCAATCTGGTGGAGAATCTGAACAACCTGCCCATGTGCCTCGTAGCAAGACACCAGAATATCCAGTTTCACTACATCTTTGCTTTGAACAGGTACGGGCCGCTTTTCTAATTCGAATCTGACAATGGCTGCTTCTTGTGTTTCCATCATGGGTTTGTTTCCCATTGTTGGATCCCGGTCTGACGTAGTGTTGAAGGTGAAAGACTGAGATATGGAGAAAGAACGTCATTGTCCTGTGTTTTTATAATTAATAATTGTTTGTCGAGCACTTTTCCAACGCGGCGGCAACGCAAATAACCAACAGTTTCTAACTTGTATTTGAACATTATCATTAGTAGAAGAATGTGTCACGTTTTCAGGAAGACTGTCTGAAACGCCGCCTCCTCATGTTGAGTCCTGACTCTGGGACCAGCAGGAGGCCAGTCCCTGTGCTCCCTCTGAGTGACCAGCAGGAGGCCAGTCCCTGTGCTCCCTCAGAGTGACCAGCAGGAGGCCAGTCCCTGTGCTCCCTCAGAGTGACCAGCAGGAGGCCAGTCCCTGTGCTCCTCTGAGTGACCAGCAGGAGGCTAGTCCCTGTGCTCCCTCAGAGTGACCAGCAGGAGGCCAGTCCCTGTGCTCCCTCAGAGCGACCAGCAGGAGGCCAGTCCCTGTGCTCCCTCAGAGCGACCAGCAGGAGGCCAGTCCCTGTGCTCCCTCAGAGCGACCAGCAGGAGGCCAGTCCCTGTGCTCCCTTAGAGTGACCAGCAGGAGGCCAGTCCCTGTGCTCCTCTGAGTGACCAGCAGGAGGCTAGTCCCTGTGCTCCCTCAGAGTGACCAGCAGGAGGCCAGTCCCTGTGCTCCTCTGAGTGACCAGCAGGAGGCTAGTCCCTGTGCTCCCTCAGAGTGACCAGCAGGAGGCCAGTCCCTGTGCTCCCTCAGAGTGACCAGCAGGAGGCCAGTCCCTGTGCTCCCTCAGAGTGACCAGCAGGAGGCCAGTCCCTGTGCTCCCTCAGAGTGACCAGCAGGAGGCCAGTCCCTGTGCTCCCTCAGAGTGACCAGCAGGAGGCTCTTCTCCTGCTCTGCTTTAGACACAGTATTTTAAATATTGTCATGTTTTTTAGTTGGTAAAAAGCTGCTGATGTTACTGATTTGACGTAGCAGTAGCAGTAGCAGTAGTAGTAGCAGTAGTAGTAGTAGCAGTAGTAGTAGTAGCAGTAGTAGTAGCAGTAGCAGTAGTAGTAGTTGTAGTTGTAGCAGTAGCAGTAGCAGTAGTAGTAGCAGTAGTAGTTGTAGCAGCAGTAGTAGTAGCAGTAGCAGTAGTAGTTGTAGCAGTAGTAGTTGTAGCAGTAGCAGTAGTAGTAGTAGCAGTACTAGTAGTAGTTGTAGTAGCAGTAGTAGTTGTAGCAGTAGTAGTAGCAGTAGTAGTAGTAGCAGTAGTAGCAGTAGCAGCAGTAGTAGTTGTAGCAGTAGTAGCAGTAGCAGTAGTAGTTGTAGTAGCAGTAGTTGTAGCAGTAGTAGTAGCAGTAGCAGTAGTAGTTGTAGCAGTAGCAGTAGTAGTAGCAGTAGTAGCAGTAGCAGCAGTAGTAGTTGTAGCAGTAGTAGCAGTAGCAGTAGTAGTTGTAGTAGCAGTAGTTGTAGCAGTAGTAGTAGTAGTAGCAGTAGCAGTACTAGTAGCAGTAGTAGCAGCAGTAGCAGTAGTAGTAGCAGTAGTAGTTCTAGTAGCAGTAGTAGCAGTAGTAGCAGTAGTAGTTCTAGTAGCAGTAGTAGCAGTAGTAGTTCTAGTAGCAGTAGTAGTAGCAGTAGCAGCAGTAGTAGTTGTAGCAGTAGCAGTAGTAGCAGTAGCAGTACTAGTAGCAGTAGTAGTAGTAGCAGCAGTACTAGTAGTAGTTGTAGTAGCAGTAGTAGTTGTAGCAGTAGCAGTACTAGTAGCAGTAGTAGTTGTAGTAGCAGTAGTAGTAGTAGCAGCAGTAGTTGTAGTAGCAGTAGCAGTAGTAGTAGTAGCAGCAGTACTAGTAGTAGTAGTAGTTGTAGTAGCAGTAGTAGTTGTAGCAGTAGTTGTAGCAGTAGTAGTAGCAGTAGTAGTAGTAGTAGCAGTACTAGTAGCAGTAGTAGTTGTAGTAGTAGTAGCAGTAGCAGCAGTAGTAGTAGCAGCAGTAGTAGTAGCAGTACTAGTAGCAGTAGTAGTAGTTGTAGTAGCAGTAGCAGTAGTAGCAGCAGTAGTAGTAGTAGCAGTAGCAGTAGTGTCAGGATTTAAGCAGACAGAGACGGATCGTGGTGCGCCAAACTCTGGAAGTTTATTTAAGTTTCTCTCAAGTTCCACTGGTTTACTCTGTTTCTTTCTCTCAGACAGAATAAAGGCAGTACACAGTTTATATAGTCATTGTCACGTCACACATCGAAAGACATACGTGTCACAAAGAGACAGTCAAATCATAGTCATAACATGGAGTCCTTGTAGAGTCCTTGTACAGTCCTGCACGTAGGCCATATTGCTATCTAATACTAACACCCTCCCCTTTGATCACATAATCACATGTGATCACTCAATTTGATCAATCAATAAAGTGGAAAAAGAAAAAATCAAAAAAAAAACACTGTAAAATTATTAAAAAACAAAGAAAATGTATGCATTAAACTCATAATCATCAAAATCAATATCAGTGGATTTTATCCTCTATCCTGGGAAAAAAACAAACAAAGTAAATAAATAAAAAAAAAACAAATCAAAAATAAAAACAAACAAACACTATTGGACACACAAGAACTCAGCAGATTCAGTCAAAACACAGACAAAAAACGAGCTGAGTCTCAATTTAGAAGCTAATTTCACTTTTATTACTCTATACTTTTATTCTAATGCTAATTGTTTACACTACACTCAATCTTATTTCACTGTATTATTTTCACTATTTAATCTTAGACTGTGTACTTTACTTTTACTATCACTATAGTTTAAAACTATTCTAATCTATTCACAAATATGTTTGTATATTTGATTCTATTGAGCCATATTCTTAAACATACATTTTAATCTAATAAATCTCTCTATACTGTATTATACTCTCATTATCAGTGGCTTATTGTTAGTGGGATTTTGTTCTATCTCTCTTCTACATTCTCAGGAATAAAACTGTGAACACAGTAAGGCAAATGGTTAATATGAACATTATTATGGCGGTCAGTTTTCCAAATATTTGTTGAACCAGGAAGTGCTGTCACTTCCTCCTCTCCGGCAGTTTGGGATGAATGTAAATCATTAATCAAATTAGTATAATCCTTACAAGAGCTAATCTATTTTAGCAGGTTTGGGGTTGGGGTCAGTTATTCTACAATGGTGTTTGTGCTGGAAACTTCTCAATATCTAAATATCTACTATTGTGTTTTTGTGCTACACCCAAATACATCAAAATGCTTTTAAATGCTTTTGAATCTCTGTTGGTTCTAATCTCATCGGTCTAGGCATTAATCTAGGCTACACTCATATGAGCTTTTTGTATTGTCAACATTCACTCATGTTTGAACACAAGTGAATTTAGAAGGTATCTAATAAAACTGTACATAAAACTGTAAGTAACTTTATCTATTTTTGAAGTAAATGCTTGTGAAATGGTCCCTTTACCATTTGATATTAGCAATGTCTAGAAATATTCTCTATTTTTGAAAGCATCTATGGTTGATGCATTTATCTATTTCTCTATTTTTACTCTATTTTTTAACTCCAAAGCTCGGCTGCAGCCTGAGCAAAGGCATATTCCTAATTTGTGACTTCTGTCACTTTTAATATCTCTAACATAACTCTGATTCTAATATTCTAGCTGCTCTATCAGAAAGATAACATTGTAGGGTACTATTTTAACTCTTATGTGGAAATGTTTTTATGAACAACAAAGAAAGTCAAATACTATTTAACATCTACTAAAACGCTACAATACTCATACTTAATCATTTTCAAAGTTTTTGTCTGTCAGATGTCTGAATACTTAACATGTATATTGCATTTGTTCACAGTTGTGGTTGTAGCAAGAGCATCGGCAATAGACGATTTCATTGGCTGGTTCTTGTTCTGCAAATGTCTGTGTCCAATAGATCATCAGATGTCCAGAAGCTAGGGACAAACAAAAACAAAAGAAAGAATCATGAGTATCTCTCTCATTTAGCACTCATCAATGGCATTATTTCAATAATATAAACATCACTCCCCAGTTTTTCCTCTCTCAGGTCCTCAGGTCCTCAGGTCCCCTGAGGGTGAGTCTCAGTCGTCATCAGGTCAGGTCATAGAGAGATGTCATCTTGGTCATCAGTAGGGTCCAAGCCATGGTTTGGTCTCTCCAGATGCACATCAGGATCTCCAGATACAGTCTTTTCACTCGAAGCACATCAGGTCATTTGCGATGCACTTCTGGTCAATGGTGCAGTGTCTCAGTTCCTGTACACAGCTTGTTATGCAATAGTTACTCTCTATGGTTAAGTCACTTTGATTCTACTTTAATGACAATTTCTATTCATGCTGTTGCTAATGTCCCTCAGACAAAAGCAAGCGCAGTTTACTTCTCTAATTTGTGTTTTTATCAGATCTAATCCTCATCAATGTAATTACTTCACACAGTACAAAATCAACAAATCAAAAGTGTCAGGACAGAGGTCAATTAAGTCCATGACAATATAGAATTCAAATGAACATTTCTGGTCTCAAAAAATACTGATTCAACTAAAGATTCAAGTGATAGACAATTAAAAATATTTGTTTACATTGGAGTAAACTTTTAAAATGCTTTTTTCTCATGTTCTACTTTTTCATGTATCTATATGTAAATGTGAATGTGTGAGTGTATGAATGTGTGTGTGTGTGTGTGTGTAGGGTGTGAATTTTGGGGTTGTGTCTCCAGACTCCTCGAACCACCTGTAGGTCTTAAAGGTCACACTGTGGTGATGTAAACCAACTGGACACACTTTCAACTCTCATTCAGGTCTCTCCCTGATGCTCCACCGTCACGTCTCCAGAAACCTCTCTCTACCCCGGTCTCTCTCACACCCACTCAGCTCTGCAGTGGCGTGGGGAGGGGCAAGGAGGTGGCATTTCCCTTTGCTCTTAGATCTGTGACCTGTGCTGGGTGGGCGTTGGTGTCCAGTGTCCAGCAGTGACCTCTCGTACAGTGTGGCAGAGTCTGAAAAACAATCCTTGAGACGGCCAATTTAAAAAAACAATAGATATCAGTATGCGAATTAGATTGTTTTTCTCTCTAAAGTCTAAACTATTTTGGAGCGCTCTGGGTTTTCCCACATGCGCTATGTAAATAAAAGATTACTTATTATCTTACTAATGATGACACTTTTAAGACCAGAAACTCTCTTAATAAAAAACAAGACTCAAATTTCTTAAACCTTCAACCTTTAAAATATGTATTATGTACTTTTGCACTGTGTGTTTAATTATCTATGCATTTATCTCAGCATATATTCTACTAATTTAAAATAATTGCAGCATTTTTCAAATGAAGTCAGTATGAATTGGAGCACATTTTAGAGCCAGTCTCCTCTGCTGTGGCATCAGCAGCAGGAGAGGAAGGTCAGGCGTGTAGTCAAAACAAAAACAAAAGTCACCACTTGAATGTGAATTGGGTAGAGTTTAACTTAATAATATAATACCTTTACAGCTAATCTAATTCCCTCTTTCTTTTTAGACGAAGTCTATAATCAATAATCACTTTTAACACAGATTCTAATTTAAATGTTTGAAAAACGGCTTTTGTAACTAAAATAAAAACATAAAAACAAACACAACTCACAAAAAGTTAAGAAATAAGCAGCAGATTTAAAAGAATGGAATCTAGAAATATGTTAGGTCTAAAAAGAATTGCACAGCTTTAGCACTAATATTTGGGTTTCAAAAAAAAAACATATAATATTCAAAACTTATTCACTAATGGTGTTTAAAAAATGTTTAACTGTGTCATAACACAATGTTAGAAAGGCAAATTTCGCAAATTTAACAACTTAATAAAAGCCAAAATCCTAAAAGCAGTAGCTTTGCTCTGATTCAGAGCCAGAGCAGCGAAGGAGGGGGCCGTTTCCCTGACAACGGCAGCAGATAGTGCGCACACACACACAGGCAGAAATGCAAAAACAGAAAGAAGAATAACTTTCAAGATTACTTTGTTAAGCGAATATAACTTGTAGTTTATACTTTTGTCATCCAAGTCTAGAAGTGATCACTTTCCACATTTGTAACAAAAGGCACTCTTTAGTGTTTAACATTTCCCTTTTTATTATAACTTTAAATTTTACACCATGGTTTCACTAACTATTCTCTATTCTCTGCCCCGGCTACTCCAAAGGCAGGGACCCCGATACGTCAGGGGTTCCTTTTTCCTATAGGGACTGGTTACCCACACAGCTAACCTGTTTTCTACAACATAAGACATGACAAAGACGTGACAAAGACACAACAAAGAAAATTTGATTTAGAGAGAGTTGGACAGACCTCCGGGACAGCTCAAAATTTAGATAGTATCCAATTATGCAGACTTTACATATTAAAAAAGGTGTCTGCTTACCTTATTTTCTTTGTCCGGACTGTTCGAGAGGTCGACCAACATCTTTTCCGCGTCGAAAAATTCAATTTAAACACAAAACAGAGAAAGTGAGGGAGCAAGAGCAAGCCCATCCAAAAGCGAGCCCTTTCAGCGTCCGCTGGGATTTCTCCCCTTCCAGATAACGTGCTGTTGCTCCCACACGCCGAAAAAAAGAAACAGAGGAAATTCCCTCAAAACAATCCAGAGAATGGCACAAACCGAGCCGCGCATTCTCCACCAAATCTGTTAGGGATTTAGCAGAGAGAGACGGATCGTGGTGTGCCAAACTCTGGAAGTTTATTTAATTTTCTCTCAAGTTCCACTGGTTTACTCTGTTTCTTTCTCTCAGACAGAATAAAGGCAGTACACAGTTTATATAGTCATTGTCACGTCACACATCGAAAGACATACGTGTCACAAAGAGACAGTCACATCAGAGTCATAACATGGAGTCCTTGTAGAGTCCTTGTAGAGTCCTTGTACAGTCCTGCACGTAGGCCATATTGCTATCTAATACTAACAGTAGTAGTAGTAGTAGCAGTAGTAGCAGTAGTAGTAGTAGTAGTAGCAGTAGTAGTAGTAGTAGTAGCAGTACTAGTAGCAGTAGTAGTAGTAGTAGCAGTAGCAGTAGTAGTAGTAGCAGTAGCAGTAGTAGTAGTAGCAGTACTAGTAGCAGTAGTAGTAGTAGCAGTAGCAGTACTAGTAGCAGTAGTTGTAGTAGCAGCAGCAGTAGTTGTAGTAGCAGCAGCAGTAGTAGTAGTAGTAGTAGTAGCAGTAGTAGTAGTAGTAGTAGCAGTAGCAGTACTAGTAGTAGCAGTACTAGTAGCAGTACTAGTAGCAGTAGAAGTACTAGTAGCAGTACTAGTAGTAGTAGTAGTAGCAGTAGTACTAGTAGCAGTAGCAGTAGTAGTAGAAGTAGTAGAAGTAGTAGTAGTAGCAGTACTAGTAGCAGTAGTAGTAGTAGCAGTAGCAGTAGTAGTAGCAGTAGTAGTAGTAGCAGTACTAGTAGCAGTAGTACTAGTAGCAGTAGTAGCAGTACTAGTAGCAGTAGTAGTTGTAGCAGTACTAGTAGCAGTAGTAGCAGTAGCAGTAGTAGTTGTAGCAGCAGTAGTTGTAGCAGCAGTAGCAGCAGCAGTAGTAGTAGTAGTTGTTGTTGTAGTAGTAGTAGAATTAATATTTGCTTCCAGATTGAAGATGCCGTTGCTCTCGTCTTCTCACTTTGTTTACTCATTATTTCTTTTCTTAATCTTTCATGATTCAAAGGTATTTTACTATTATTATTAACGGTATAACATTGATGGTATTGAGGTACTATGGCACGTTATACCTCATTTCAAAGCATATGTCAAATACTGTTATAGAATATTAGTATGTGATTCCTACACTGCAAATGATGACAATTAAGTTAAAAAAATCAAAATATTGACCGAATTAATCTTACTTTGAGCACATTCTGACTGCCTTAAAACATGATTTGCCACAGGAACAAACAAAATCTTTTCTTACAAACATACAAAAAATAAATGGCTTTGTTCCATTGACAAATTTTGCTTTTTAGATTGTGTCGAAATGTGTCAGATTAGGATAAAAAACACTTCATTCACGCAATTTTTACGTCCAAATGTATTTTTATTTTTTATAACCGGCCCCGAGTTTAGAGAACGCAGTAGATATTGTTGGAGGTGGTGTTCCAGGTCCGTCATGTTGTGCTTCTCCCCGCGGCCCCAGGAGGAACCACCCCGGAGACAGAGCCAAGGCCTTGGACTGCATCCTGCCCCTGGTCCAGAGCGGAGGGAAGGTGGCCTCCGACGTCTACTGCCTCTGTGGACGCGTTTACAAAGACACGTTCATGAGCTCCGGGTTCACGGACCAGGAGAGCAGGGACCAGGCCAGCTACTGGTACCAACACATTTGTCATCCACATTGAGATTATATTAGTGTAGTGTTGCTGTTTTTTGTGTTTGCATCAACAAGAGAAAAATGTGAAAATGTAAATCTTTTTGCAGCTGCTTAATCTAATCATTGATTTTTGAGGCACTTATAAGCTTTTTGTTTTCTCCTTTTTGAGCTTTCTTTTCTTTCTGGAATTATTTGTGCATGTAAAAATATATATGAAATACATTGTAAAACTGCTCAAATAAAAATACCACTACTGCTAGATTAGTCGTGATTTAAAGATGCTATACACGATGTTTTTTATTTTTATGAATTAATAAAAATGCTTATTACTACAGTCTGAGCCTTGATAGTCAGAGCGTAGATAGTCCGAGCGTAGATAGTCCGAGCGTAGATAGTCCGAGCGTAGATAGTCCACAGCTGAATCAATGAGCTCAAGTTTTTAATTAAATTACAGATTATAATACAACTTGTATGTAGTAATAAGCATTTTTATGAAATAATTAAAACAAATCAGGTATAGCTTCTTTAACTCTGCCTGTTAGGGATGAATGCCTATGTTTTTTATTTATCAATGCATTTCTTGTGTTTGAACTGTTTCAACGATTTCGTAAAGTCCTCTGAGAAAACTACTGTTGTGATTTCGGGCTATATTGAATTGAATACTGGTGTTTCCTCTTCCCAGGTACGGGAAAGCCTTTGAGACAGAACCGACTCTCCACTCCGGCATCAACAACGTGGTCCTCCTGATGGCGGCTGGTCACGAGTTCGACACATCTATTGAGCTTCGTAAAATCGGTACGACTTGTATTTTCGTATATTGTGCCATTTGGTCCAAAAAATATGACAAATAACCCGTAACGATGGTGTTGTCGGACCCCAGGAGTGACCATCAACACTTTGCTCGGGAGGAAGGGCAGCCTGGAGAAGATGAGGGACTACTGGGACGTGGGTTTCTATCTGGGAGCAAACATTTTGATCAAGGAGCCGAGGAAAGTTATTGAAGCCTCGGAGAAATTGTACAAACTGAAAGCACCTGTGTGGTAAGACGTTAAAGCTATTAGCAAAGAATATACTTAGTCTTTATGGTTGATCTGCGCTCCGTACAAGGAGAATGGACTTTCTATAATTCACCTGCATATGCTGAGGGCTCTATACATGAGTCTGTCTAAAACTAGTCTATGGCCTCGCAACAAAGTCCATCTGTGACGTGCTGGTGCCATATGTCACTCAAGGGAAGGCAAGTTTAATTATGTAGCACAAAGCAACTCAAAGTGCTGAATAAAACCAAGATGCAAACTATCCCACGAGGCATTAAAATCATAATCACAGAACAGAGTGATGATAAAATCCTTCAGTTATAGCGATTTAACAGAACTGTTTTAACCTGGTTTTCTACATTGTCGGAGTAGAAGCCTGTCTCACATTTTCAGGAAGACTGTTGCAGATTTTAGCTGCATAAATCTGAAATGCTGCCTCCCCAGGTTAAGTTCTGACTCTGGGACCCAGCAGGAGGCCAGTCCCTGTGCTCCTCAGAGTCCCAGCAGGAGGCCCGTCCCTGTGCTCCTCAGAGTCCCAGTCCCGTTGTTTTGATAGTAGGAGTGGGAATTGGCAAAAATATGACAATTCGTTAGTATTGCAATATTTTGACTACAATTCAATGTTATTGTGATTCTTAACATATTGCGATTCAGTTCTTTGATATACAGTGCCTTGCGAAGTATTCGGCCCCCTTCAACCTTTCAACATTTCGCCACATTTCAGGCTTCAAACATAAAGATATAAAAAATGTTGTCATGAATCAACAAGTGGGACACAATCGTGAAGTGGAACGAAATTTATTGGATAATTTAAACTTTTTTAACAAATAAAAAACTGAAAAGTGGGGCGTGCAATATTATTCGGCCCCTTTACTTTCAGTGCAGCAAACTCACTCCAGAAGTTCAGTGAGGATCTTTGAATGATCCAATGTTGTCCTAAATGACTGATGATAAATAGAATGCACCTGTGTGTAATCAAGTCTCCGTATAAATGCACCTGCTCTTTGATAGTCTCAGGGTTCTGTTTAAAGCACAGAGAGAACCATGAAGACAAAGGAACACACCAGGCAGGTCCGAGATACTGTTGTGGAGAAGTTTAAAGCCGGATTTGGATACAAAAAGATTTCCCAAGCTTTAAACATCTCAAGGAGCACTGTGCAAGCAAATATATTGAAATGGAAGGAGTATCAGACCACTGCAAATCTACCAAGACCCGACTGTCCCTCCAAACTTTCATCTCAAACAAGGAGAAGACTGATCAGAGATGCAGCCAAGAGGCCCATGATCACTCTGGATGAACTGCAGTTTTAAAAGTTTAAATTATCCAATGAATTTCGTTACACTTCACGATTGTGTCCCACTTGTTGTTGATTCATGACAAAAAAATAAAATTTTATATCTTTATGTTTGAAGCCTGAAATGTGGCGAAATGTTGAAAGGTTCAAGGGGGCCGAATACTTTTGCAAGGCACTGTATTGTGTTTCCTGTCCCTCATATTATTCTATAGAATTACAAAAATGGAGCAAAATAAGACTTGTGTGCGGAATATAATGCGATACTGAACTCCGCCGCACCACTAGTTCTTATGAGCACAGGGACTATGAGCACAGGGACTATGAGCACAGGGACTATGAGCACAGGGAGTATGAGCACAGGGACTATGAGCACAGGGACTGGACAAACATCAGTCTGCGTTCAGATTTTCCCATCGCACATCTCACCGCGTCTCACCACGTCTCACCACGTCTCGCCGCATCTCACCGCATCTCGCCACGTATATCTGTATATCTGTACATTTCTCTCAGGTTCGTTGCTTCCATCATGGAGACCTTCATCTTGTATCGTCAGTTTGCTAAGTTACCAGAGGTGCGCAGTCCTAAAGAGGAAACCATGGACTTCTGGATGGAGCTGCTTCTGGAAACCTGTAAACCCACCATCACCAAAGACCACTGCCCGGTAACGAAACACTGACCTTCTATACACGTGTTTTAGAACTAGACTAGAATGGGTAGATTATTCTATAAAGCTCCACTCACAAATCCAGAAAAGACTAACTTTATTGATCTTATAATGGAGAAGTTAGTCAGTAATTTACATGGATGGGGTTTGAACGTTGCAAATCAGCCTTGGCTATATATGTTGCAGTGTTTCACATGTTTGTTGTGTACACCGGTGGGGGTGTACCCGGAAAGAGAATGACCCAATGCTTTTGTATGGCGTCTTTCCGCTCAAAAACGGCTTTACAGAACAGTCCAAAAGTGGCTCTTGGTCCTAAAGCTACGTTCCAGATGCTGTTGATGCTGAGGGGAGTTTTTCTTCTTTTTTTTTACCAGTCTAGTTTAGCCGCTGTGGACTTTTGGATGCACTCGTTGAATGAATGGGCAGCTAACGCATGTGCAAATGTGTTTTTTTCACATTGTCCTGCCCCGTGGCCATTTTGGAAAAGCCACAGAAGGCAAAAGTTGTGGAGATAGGCGTCACTACATCCGTTATTATTTACAGTCTGTGGTTCTATCCAGGCTGAGCTGTTACTAAATTTGATTGGCCAGAGAGCTGCTGGAAGCCATGGTTGCCAAGGAATTTCCACGGATACTGGTTTGCTTTGAGTAGGTTGCTAGAATACGGCACCAGATCCTAAAGTGTAATGGAAACACAAACAGGTCAAATAGATCCCGTTGGAGTCGAGTGGGGCTGGTGGAAACGGGGCTAAGGCAGACTCAGGCAGAGGCACATGTCTGGACTGTTCCAGGTGTGAGCACGATCCAGGGAATGTTGTACTGTAGTGCTGGTTTTTGAGTTCATTCCTGGCGCCCGCTCACTGAGGTGTGACTGTGGTGTCTGCACAATGAATACTCACACAGGGACCGAGCACCGCAGAGATGGCATTTTTTCTCCATTATTGTAAAATGTTTGATATTTTTGAGGCAACGCCAAAAGTAAATTGGTTTAGAGGATGATTTTGATCCCGAATTAAAGCCCAAACTGTGTTAAAACAAGGTCTCGTGCTAATTTTCTCTTATAATCAGAGTTTGTTCCAGAGTTCTAACAGTCATGTGACCTTATCATTATCATTCTTATTTTTATTATTATTACTATTATTATTATTAGTTTCAGATGCATTTTATTTGCCATTTGCAAGAAAACCACATAGGAACACATTTGCCAAAGTCCGCAGTGTGCACAAGAAAAGGACAGAAGAGGAATAAAAAGAACAATAGTCAGTGTGAAATCAAACTAAAACCGTTTCAAAACAAGTGAAGATCAGTAAAGTGCTTTGTTTAAACTCACAGTTTGTGGAACGAAGCTGTTCGCAAAACGAGATGTCTTGTATTTCAAAGAACAATAACTTCGACCAAAGGGAAGAAGCTGGAACATGGCTTTTCCAGGAGCCAGAAGAGTCATTTTTATATTTCATCTTTAATTTCAGCCTGTTTCCCACCCTGCGCAGAGGAACTTATTTCATATAAATGGCTGTTCTTTGAGAGTATTTTCTGCTTTTATAGTTGATGTTATTGTTGATTTCCAGGTCCTTATCCTTGAGCCCAGTAAACTCCTGCAGCCGGCGGTGGTCTGTGTGAACGAGGAGGACGAGAGCCGCACTGTCCAGTTGAAACATGTATCTCCTCTGAAGGTATGCTGCCTTTGGAATCTGTGTCAAAAAGACCCGTGGAAAGTCTTGCACTGATTATTTGATATGATATATAAAACTAAACATGGACACACAATGGCTGTGTCCAGTTATACAATGTCTTAGATTTGAAAACATAAACATGGGTATTATTAGGGTTATTATAGCCTGGCCTTCAGTTATCTTTGGTCGATAATCCTTTTACACATACGTCAAGAGTTTGTCTGAATTTGCTGGTTGTAGTTTGTCGGAGAATGCGATAGTAAAATAATCTGTTCTGGTTCAATCCAAATATCAAGAAATTGAAGCCCCACAGGCTCCGTTAGTGCCACAGGAGATGGCTAAAGCTAGGCTAAATGCTAAAGCTAGGCTAAATGCTAAATGCCTCACTCACTCGGGCTCGTTACATACATCACGGTAAACTCAGATCCAATGGTTTCAATCTGCAAAAGGAGTTAGCCCCTCCCACCTGTTAACGGAGTCAATGAAGCAGATCCAGACCTAAGTATGAAATGAAAAGAGTACTATGGTGTGGCAAGACCAGGATAGGGTTATTATTGTTGTTGGGTGATTTTATGCTTCCTAAATGATCCCTGCTCTGGATGCTATTCTTTGTTTTGACTTCTTCTTCCATTATCTCTGATCTTTTTCTGTTTTATCTCAATCAAATGTGTCGCAACAAAGTGACGCTCTTGTTCCCACAGAAAGGCTTACATGAGTGGACTTTCCCCGCCTCTGCCATCCGGGGAGTCAGGTACGATGGAAAAGTGAAATAATTGTATGTATTGCAACATCTTTTGGGCAACATTGTGAAGAAGATGACAAAGTCTGGGATCGTGTCTTAAATTCAGACAGAAGACATGTTTTATTGTCGATGGTAGAGACAGCACGAACAACAGATACAACAGAATGCAAGTGTATTATACAGAGCGTTGGCATGGAGACCTCCAATCAGCAGCTGCCACAGTGCCATGTAGCTTGGCCTTCAGATAGACAAAACAAGGGAAAAGTACTGGCTTCTGCACATTGATAGAATGATGAGTTTAACTTTAAAGTTGCAAACAAAAACCTAAATAATGACTGTCCTTGCGATTGGATGATGTGATCGTGACAGACGGCTCTTTCTGTCCTGATCCACGTTGTGTGTTTGCAGAATGTTGTGTGTTTGCAGAATGTTGTGTGTTTGCAGAATGTTTTGTGTCTGAGAATCGTGTCGGAGCTTGTGGCGGAAAAATGCTGCTTATTGTGAGAGTGAGGATCCTGGGAGCTGCACTGTCCCAATGTTCTGTCTGTCTGTGTGTGTGTGTGTATGTGTGTGTCTGTCTGTATGTGTGTGTCTGTCTGTCTGTGTATGTGTGTGTCTGTGTATGTGTGTGTCTGTGTATGTGTGTGTCTGTCTGTATGTGTGTGTCTGTGTATGTGTGTGTCTGTCTGTGTGCGTCTGTTTGTGTGCGTCTGTCTGTGTGCGTCTGTCCGTGTGTCTCTGTCCTTGTGTGTCTGTCTATATGTGTGTGTCTGTGTGTGTCTCGGTGTGTATCTGCGTGCGTCTGCGTGTGCCTGTCTTTGTCTATGTCTTTCTGTGTGCGTCTGTCTGTGTGTTTCTGTGTGTTTCTGTGTGTCTCTGTCCGTGTGTCTCTGTCCTTGTGTGTCGGTGTGTGTCTGTGTGTCTGTGTGTTTGTGTGTCGGTGTGTGTCTGTGTGTTTGTGTGTCTGTGTGTGTTGAAAGCAGCCTGGGTTTCTTCTTCTTTTGTAAATAAATGCATTTGCGTTGCCGTTTGCAGAGCTGTGTGTGTCAGTGTCTGTGTGTGTTGCCTTTTGCAGAGCTGTGTGTAGTCAGTGTCTGTGTGTGTTGCCGTTTGCAGAGCTGTGTGTGTCAGTGTCTGTGTGTGTTTGCAGAGCTGTGTGTGTCAGTGTCTGTGTGTGTTTGCAGAGCTGTGTGTGTCAGTGTGTCTGTGTGTGTTTGCAGAGCTGTGTGTGTCAGTGTCTGTGTGTGTTTGCAGAGCTGTGTGTGTCAGTGTCTGTGTGTGTTTGCAGAGCTGTGTGTGTCAGTGTCTGTGTGTGTTTGCAGAGCTGTGTGTGTCAGTGTCTGTGTGTGTTTGCAGAGCTGTGTGTGTCAGTGTCTGTGTGTTTGCAGAGCTGTGTGTGTCAGTGTCTGTGTGTGTTTGCAGAGCTGTGTGTGTCAGTGTCTGTGTGTGTTTGCAGAGCTGTGTGTGTCAGTGTCTGTGTGTGTTTGCAGAGCTGTGTGTGTCAGTGTCTGTGTGTGTTGCCGTTTGCAGAGCTGTGTGTGTCAGTGTCTGTGTGTCTTTGCAGAGCTGTGTGTGTCAGTGTCTGTGTGTGTTTGCAGAGCTGTGTGTGTCAGTGTCTGTGTGTGTTTGCAGAGCTGTGTGTGTCAGTGTCTGTGTGTGTTGCCGTTTGCAGAGCTGTCAGTGTCTGTGTGTGTTGCCGTTTGCAGAGCTGTGTGTGTCAGTGTCTGTGTGTGTTTGCAGAGCTGTTTGTGTCAGTGTCTGTGTGTGTTTGCAGAGCTGTGTGTGTCAGTGTCTGTGTGTGTTTGCAGAGCTGTGTGTGTCAGTGTCTGTGTGTGTTTGCAGAGCTGTGTGTGTCAGTGTCTGTGTGTGTTTGCAGAGCTGTGTGTGTCAGTGTCTGTGTGTGTTTGCAGAGCTGTGTGTGTCAGTGTCTGTGTGTGTTTGCAGAGCTGTGTGTGTCAGTGTCTGTGTGTGTTTGCAGAGCTGTGTGTAGTCAAACTCTGGTCCCTGTTCTTCCCCAGTGCTTCAAAGATCGATGAGCGCAGCTGTTTCCTCTACGTTCTCTTCAACTCCGACGACTTCCAACTCTGCTTCCCCTCCGAGGCCCTGTGCAGAGGGTGAGTGTGTGCACTTGTTTTCAACTCCTGGTGGGTTCCATAACCTGAGATTCCACTCACGTCATGGGGACTGGTTTTACGTGGTGGGGCCCGAACACCGGACCCCACTGGTCCAAGCTTAATAATCAATGGGTAATGCTTTTCTAACGGTCCTTATGCAGTCTCTGTAAAAATATGGAAAGGACCCCTGGAGGTTTACTTTCCTGAAAAAAGTGTGTTATGTGTCGGAACCCTGGTGGTGGGTTGCGGGATATCAAGGAGGGGCACACTGGGGCAATTTCAGTCCAGCAGGCTGGAGCCAATCATGGAGCAGCACAACAGAGGCTGGAGCCAATCATGGAGCAGCACAACAGAGGCTGGAGCCAATCATGGAGCAGCACAACAGAGGAAATCAGGTGTCAGGCTAGAAAAAGGTGCAAGTGTGTGGTTCATTAGGCTGCAAGAAATCATGGAGGAGCACACTGAAGCGCACGCTTACAAACCACTGGTAAGTGCTGACTACAAGTCATGACTTCAAATTGTTATATAGAATGATTACAAATTATTTGTTGTTTGTGCAGCTTAGTCAAGAGTCCCTAATTGATGAAGTCGACTCAGATTCTGACGATTTAACTGTCAAGAAGAAACCTGTAAAAAAGTATGGAAAAAGAAAAATCAAAAACACTTTTCTTCAAGACTCGGAAAGTGACGAACCAAAGGCAAATAAGATTGTTATCATGCAGCTGCAAAAGAAGAAAAATGGGGGGCGAGTATACAGCAAGAGACACTTCTGCCTCTACTGTTCAATGTCCTGCCACAAAATGTCCCGTCATTTGACTAGAAAACATGGAAATGAAAGTGACGTAGCCAGAGCATTGGCTCTACCTGTGAAATCTAAAGCACGTAAACTTCAGTTTGATTTGATCAGGAATAGTGGAAACCGTGAGCACAATTTTGAGGTTTTAAAGGCCGGCATTGGAACTTTAGTCCCAGCTAAACAGCCAAATTCCCCAGTTAAATCCAGTGAGTTTTTGCACTGTATAGACTGTGGGGCATTGCTTAAGCGAAAGTCGCTGTGGAGGCATGTGGCCAGGTGCCGGCTTTCACAGAAAGATGCCCAGGCTAAACCAGGCTAAACCAGGTAGAAGTAGGGTCCAGTCCCTCTGCTCCCTAGCCCAGCCTGTACCGGAGGGCATCAGCAAAAAGCTGTGGTCTTTAATTTCGGCAATGCATCAGGATGAGGTCACGGGTGTTGTCAAAGCAGAAAAGGGGATTCTGAGACTCGGAGAGCACCTGTACTTAAAACACGGGCATGATAAGACAAAGCATGATTACATTAGGCAGAAAATGAGAGAAGTCGGTAGGTTAATTAACGAAGCAAAAACCGCAGGGAAACTGAAAACAATTAAGGATTTCTTTATTCCTTCCAACTTTAACCATGTGATTGATGCAGTCAGGTCTGTGGCTGGATATGATGAGGAAACAAATCAATACAAGACTCCATCCTTGGCCCTCAAACTCGGCCATAGCCTCAGAAAGCTAGCAGATATTCTTGAATGTGACTCAAAAATGGAGCATTGTGTTGATGAACTATTTATTAAAAACCTCCAACGAAGCCGGCTGCTTTTTGAGAAGAGGTGGGACGTCTGTGTTTCTTCTGCTGCCCTACAGACCCTCCGGCAAGCCAAGTGGAACACTCCGGACCTGCTCCCTCTGACTGAGGACGTTAGAGCCATGCATGCACATATTGAGGTATGTCGACCTGAATATGTGCAAACCCTAATAAGTGAGCCAACGTCTAAGCATTGGTCTAAACTGGCAGTTTTGACTCTTTGTGAGGTCATCATTTTCAATCGAAGAAGGGAAGGTGAGGTTTCAAAGATGCCACTGACAGCCTTTACCTTAAGAAGTAAGACTGGGATCCATTCTGACATTGCTCTGGGACTGTCCCAACTTGAGAAAAAGCTGTGTCAGCATTTTCAACGCATTGAAATTAAAGGGAAAAGAAGTCGGAAAGTGCCGGTTCTTTTGACTCCTGAAATGATTGCTTCGATGGAGGTGCTGGTGGAGAACAGAAGGGCCTGTTCCATCTCTGACCATAACCCATACTTCTTTTCCCGCCCGGGCGCAGACACCCACATCAGGGGATCAGACTCCCTACGCCAGGTAGCCAAAGAATGTGGTGCGGTGCATCCAGAGATGCTATCCTCAACCAAACTTAGAAAGCACATAGCTACTATGTCTACAGTTCTCAATATGAAAGAGAATGAGATGGACATACTTGCCAACTTCCTCGGCCATGACATTCGCATCCACAGGCAATATTACAGACTACCAGAGGGGACACTGGAGCTGGCCAAAATCAGCAAAGTGTTGATGGCCATGGAGCAGGGAAGAGTGACGGAATTCGAAGGAAAGAGCCTCGACCAGATACAAATTGAGCCTGAAGGTAATTCTTGATATTATTAAAATATGTATGATTTTTTTCCCCTAAAGGCCACTTGTATTTTTATTTTCTGTGCGACAGGGAGAGCAGTAGAGATCCTCTCACAAACGGACGGGCTAAAAGAAACTTCAAGCGGAGAACCTTCAACCATTCATCCAGATGCACCCCATGGTAGTGGCAGTGCCCCTTCTGGTAAGTGTACCAGGTGGGGGATTACAGCCAGGCTGCTTGGTCCTCACCCTGGGAGTGTATATTGCTAATATATTTTTATTTCTCTCCCTAGAACGTGTAAGAAAGCCATGGTCTGCATCTGAGGTGAAGGCTGTGGAGAAGACCATGACACCTTTCATACAGACTGGAAAGGTCCCTGGGAAGTCTCACTGCCTGGCCTGCATTAATGCCTCACCAGATGACCTTAGACATCGGACATGGAGTGGCATTAAATTCTATGTCAAAAATAGAATCACTGCAATTCGAAAACAAAATCTAAAATAAAATTCCTTTAAAATAGTTGTTTGGTTTCTATTGACTGTTTTGTATTACTTAAAGTCTTGGTAAAAAAAGATTATGTCTATGGGTCCCATTCTGAACGGCCCTGTCAAAGGGACCCACCAGGTAACAAAAACGTGTATGTGTGTGTGTGTGTGTGTGTGTGAGTGTGTGTGTGTGTCGCAATCCAACAACATGAGCTAAAATAAACCCCCAGCCTTTCATTTTCAGTCCATATATATATATATAGCACACTTCATAAACGAGAGCTGTCCAAAGTGCTGTACAACAAGCAGAAATCAATGCAACGACTTACAGACTTTATCGATCCACAAGGGACATTTGCGCTGTCACAGTAGCTTGCACAGGATTCTACAATAAAGATAACAAAGTAACAATCTGAAAATAAGAATAGTAATAATATAATATTGTGAGAATAGAATAATCTGGATAGAATTACTCAGGAATAGCCATAACAGTGAATATGTCCACATTTACAGTATATATAATGCAGAGATATTAGGATACTACACATCTGTTTATATACGGAGACAAAGCAGATATTAACGGCTTATTAACCGAGCAAGCAAATTTAATAAATGTTTTATATGACTCTCGTCTGTGTCTTTACCAACGCTTTTGAGATATTTGTGAAGTATGTTCATGTCAGACTTGGTTTTGTGTGATACGGGCTGCGGACAGATTGTCATGGTAACGGTCCGTGGAAAGATATCAAATGTGATACGCGCTGTTCGGGCCAATTGTCATGGTAACGGTCCGAGATGGGAAAATATCAGACCGGTAATCAACCAATCAGAGCGCACGTACAGTCCAAGTCATATAATAAACACACATATGTATAAAAATAAAATAAAAAACCACAAAGGAAAGCCAGAGAATAAAAGTGGGTTTTGTTTTGATTCATAAATATGAGATAAACTAGTCTGTCCGTGGGAGCAGATCTCTCTCTTTTTTCCCACTGGGTTTTAAAGTTGTTCCTTGGTAAATGCAGCAGGGTCTAAGGACAGTGGCGATGATCCAGAAGACATTAGGACATTTATGGACATTGGGCGTCCAGCTTCATAATCCACTGGAGTTAGCGTTCCTCCAGTGGATCCTCTCTGCTCCGGTCTGGACCAGTGTCGCTTGACTTTGATGTAGACTGTTCCAAATACATGCACTTACAGATTTAAAAACTGTTTCTATCTGCAGATCATAAAGTCTCTGGGTTTTCTGTAGGTGTGTTGATGCTAAACTGTACTGGACAATGACAAGCTAACGTCTGCTAGTGTCTGTTCTGTGTGTTTGTTTTTATTGTAAACATTTTATTCTCTGACCTGTGTCTGCGAATCCTGTGTGAACCCCGGGGCCTTAGGGTGTTTTAAGGTGGCCCTGGTTTTGACTCTCATCCAGAAGTCATTTTTTCCAGTCTACTTGTGAAACCTGTTCTGCGATTTGTAAAGAATAGAGGCAGACAAAGCAAATGTTTTATTTATTCTCTTGATAGGGACAATGCACATTAATGAACATCAGTATAAAACAAATGTAAATATGCCGGATTATAGCTACCAAGCTAGTTTTCCTCCGTAGTCCCTTGGCAGGAAAATACATAAGACATTACAACATACAATGCAATAACATACAAAATAACACAATACAATACAGACAGCACAGGGACAAGTTAAGTGTATAAAACAATAGGTCAGTTGTATTCTATATGGACTTGGGTGTTGTGCAGATGCTGGCTCGTTCTCAGCACAGAGGTTTTGGTTTTGTGCCATTGCCAAGTCTTATGTAATCAATATGAGTCACATTTCCCATACCGCCTTAAAGGAAATCCCCTCGACCCACATCCCACACTTCAGACAGTCCTGTGTGAAACTTCTCTTACTCTTGTCTCTTTTTTAGATTCTGTGAGCTGGTGAACTCTCTGCTGCTGCAGGCGGAAGACCCGGATCTGGTCCTGAACTCTCAGACTAATGGAATACTAGAGGTCAGACTCAAACTTACAAAGACAAGAAGATATAAGTCTCAGTGAGAAAGGATCAATGGACACGACTCGGTCCATTCAGTTCCATTTATTTTTGTACAGCCCTAAATCAAAGCAGCAGTCGTCTCGGAGGGCTTAACAAATTTGTCATTTCACCAACAGCAGATTAGAGAACACAGGAGTATACAGTAAGAACAAGCACATAGGAGCCATCCATCCATTTTCTTCCCCTTAATCCATTTCTGGGTCGGGGGGGTGGCCAGAGCTGCACCCAGTCCACAGAGCACCAGCCCCTCACTGATCCTCCTGCAGGTGCTGGAGGATCAGCGGGGGCTTCAGGCAAAGTTGGGTTAAGTGTCTTGCCCAAGGACACAACGACAGCAGTCATCAGTGGGAGTCATGAAGTAGGTCTTGAGGTGGCCTCGAACCCACGACCTTCAGGCTCAAAGGCCAATGCTCTACCAACTGAGCTACTGTCGCCTATAGGTGACATAGGAGCCATTGGTCCATAACGAGCAGACGATCATAATATGTCCATAAATGTCACGAACCGTCACTGTTCTTAGGCAGTTCCTACATCTTTAAGGAATGACTCAAAAACCCAATGGGGAGAAAAAAAGTGAGAAACCTCAGGAAAGCCCACATTGAGATCGGGATCCGCTCCCACAGACAGACTGTAGATCCAGGACTCAGGCTGTAGAACGAGGACTGAAACTGACTTTCTACAATGTCCACTCTTTCCAGCCTGCTATTTCCTCTTAATGCTTTGAGAACTCTCTTGAAAACAGAAAAAAATCCGCTCAGCTCTCTTGCTCCCAAGGGTCTTTTCTTTACAGACCACAAGTAAAGTTTCCGGTGTGTAAATAAAAGGCCCTTGGGAGCGACAGAGCTGTGTGTTTTGCACTGTTTTTGAATCCAACATGCTTGTCCAGGCTTCTGGGATGTGCAGCCTTATTTGAAACCTTCTTGAAAAACTCTCTTCATGTGTTTTTTCACAGCTTGGAGAATAAGGCCAGACATTAATCCCAGTGTAACAGGCCATTTTACCCCCCCTGGCCGGTTTACACCCCGGGGTTAAAATAGCTAGGCCAGAATACACCCCGGGGTTTTATTCTGGCCTAGGCTATTTTAACCCCCCTTAGGCCAAATTAACCCCCCTCTTGTTTTATCTAATAATGATAAAATATACGTTATTAAATATTTTTTCCAAATGATTTTAAATAATTTTGAAGTTTAGAAGTAATTTGTTAATTACTCTATAGCCCTAATTAGTGTGATTGCTTTTCATACTTTGTTTGATTAAGATTAAGATTGAGAGATCCTTTATTTGTCCCACAGTGGGGAAATTTCAGTGTTGCATCACAGGTTATAGGACAGTAGGAAAGAGGCGCACACGCCACGTTAAGTGAAAAATAGCTACAGTATACTAAACAAAATAAAAAGAATCTAACTCTAGAATCAATAATAAGTATAAAATCTCGATTTGGAAAATATAATAGATGTAAAAAATTTAAAATTGACAAAATAAGAGGCAAGTATAAAATACTGTGTAATCTAGTGCAAGCAAAGTGTAGTTATGTTAGCATCTGTACATTAGCAGCAGTATGTTTACATCTGTACTTAGCAGCAGTATGTTTACATCTGTGCAGTAGCAGCAGTAGTATGTTTACAACTGTACATTATCAGCAGTATGTTTACAGCTGTATATTGGCAGCTATGCACATTCTAGTATAAGGTAAGGATATTGCAACGATGCGAGAATGACACTGGAATCAAGTTGGCAGTGTTCATTAGTCCTTATTGTTTGTTGTACAGTCTGACTGCAGCAGGAAGGAAAGACCTGCAGAACCTCTCCTTCACACATCGAGGGTGAATTAGTCTATCACTGAAGCTGCTCTCCAGCTCCCTTCTTGAAGAGGGCGTCTGTGTTATGAGTCAAGTCCAGTTTGTGGTTCAGATGAACACCCAGGTACTTGTAAGAGTCCACTCTCTCAATTCCCTTTCCCTGGATGTTCACTGGAGCTGGAGCGGCAGAGTGACGTCTGCGGAAATCCACCACCATCTCCTTGGTCTTCCCCGCGTTGATGAGGAGGTGGTTCATCTCCTTGGTCTTCCTCACGTTGATGAGGAGGTGGTTCATCTCCTTGGTCTTCCTCACGTTGATGAGGAGGTGGTTCATCTCCTTGGTCTTCCTCACGTTGATGAGGAGGTGGTTCATCTCCTTGGTCTTCCTCACGTTGATGAGGAGGTGGTTCATCTCCTTGGTCTTCCTCACGTTGATGAGGAGGTGGTTCATCTCCTTGGTCTTCCTCACATTGATGAGGGGGTGGTTCATCTCCTTGGTCTTCCTCACGTTGATGAGGAGGTGGTTCCGCTGACACCAGTCCACAAAGTCCTGTATAACTCCTCTGTACTCTGCGTCATCGTCCTCGGAGCTGAGTCCGATGATGGCAGAGTCGTCAGAGAACTTCTGTAGAACACAACCGTGTTGTGAGGTGATGAGTCAATGTATCTACAAACTTCTCACATGAAACTCTTAGAACTTTTGAGTAGATATTAATTATGGGCAAATGACACCAATGCTCCGGAGCTTTTGTCACTCTTTCCGAAGCAAATTGCTTCAAAACACTGCGTTGGAGCATGTATCAAAACAACCGGTCACGTGTCAGTGTCTCGGACTCTGCGGCCGCTGCTTCACTGCTTCACTGCTTCACTGCTTCACTGCTTCACTGATTCACTGCTTCACTGCTTCACTGCGCATATCAACGGTGTGGGTGTCGTAGAGTGTCTTTGGCTCAATGTGTTTCCTGACTTCTCATTTGATCATCTCGCTTCCTTGGTATGTCTGCTGATACCATATAGCTAAAGCACTTGGCTTGAAAGTTAAGAAGCCTGTCTATTTTAGTCCAGGAACTTGCAGCACCAAAGCGACTACACAAGACCCGTGGTGATAGAAACTGCTATTTCCGTGCTTTGAGTTATATATTCACAGGATCTGAGGAATACCACCTCTCTCCGTGATAGTGTGGTTCAACATATGAACATCAGCATTAAAGACAAACTTTCCTGTTACCTCAATCAGTCAATAAATGACTACATGACATCTACTGCTATGGATAAGTGTGGTGTGTGGGCAACAGATGCAGAAATAATGGCCACAGCTTCCCTCATAGGCAATAATGTAATAGTGTAAACAAAGCATGGGGAAAGTATGCAGTGGCTGACATATCCAGCATCTTTCAATCTACAGGAGACATCAGAATCTGCCATATACCTTGAGAAGAAGTCTGAGCACTTTAGTGCTGTGATTGGTGTCGTGTGATGAGACTGTATGGTGTAGTAAGGTTACTGCAAAGTACAGTAAGTGTTATAGTTTTATCATTGTTACAGTTTTACCATTGTTTTAGTTTTATCATTGTTATAGTTTTATATAGAATATCACCACCATATCTTTTCCTAAATGTATTTAGTAAGAAATAAAGAAATAAAATATTGCTTCTATTTTATTGTTATCATACAAAATGAAAGGGGGGGTTAATCTGGCCTAAGGGGGGTTAAAATAGCCTAGGCCAGATTATACCCCGGGGTGTAATCTGGCCTAGGCTATTTTAACCCCGGGTGTATTCTGGCGGGGGGTTAAACTGGCCTGCTACACCGGATATGTCTTTTTTACTGCTCCTCCTTCTGAAAAAACAATGTAGACCAGGGATGTGTCAAATACATCAGAGGCCAAAAAAAAAACACATTTGCCACAAGTCGAGACCTGCACTGGTTCAATCTTTATTAAAACATATTAGAATTATGCATATAAACTATTGCATCAAGACCTAACAGTGTACAGTATGTATAATCCAACATTCCTGTATGGCTGTTAGTCATTTCAAGTAAAAACATTTGTCACAGACTCAGACAAAACAAACTTCCTTCAACGAGAAAATGCATGAGCGGGACATTAAATGAATAACCCAATATTTTCTTATGTCTCTGTGCGGCCGGTTCTAATACTAATCAAATTTTATCCCGGGGGCCAAGATAATTTTTTGTCACCCGGGTCTCAGGCCTTGACTTTGACACCCATGATGTAGTTCCAAAAACATGCACTCATATATTTAAAAACCATTTCTATCTGCAGACCATAAAGTTATTAGTCCCATCACCCGTTAATATAATAGATCCATGACCATCACTGATTTAGCTGTAAATGCTAAACTGTAGTTAACAATGACAAGCTAACTGATCTGCTAACGTGTGCTAACATCTAATACTGTATCTGCTAACGTCTGCTAAGATCTGCTAACGTCTGCTAAGATCTCCTAACGCCTGCCTAACGCCTGCCTAACGCCTGCCTAACGCCTGCCTAACGCCTGCCTAACGCCTGCCTAACGCCTGCCTAACGCCTGCCTAACGCCTGCCTAACGCCTGCCTAACGCCTGCCTAACGCCTGCCTAACGCCTGCCTAACGCCTGCCTAACGCCTGCCTAACGCCTGCCTAACGCCTGCCTAACGTCTGCCTAACGTCTGCCTAACGTCTGCCTAACGTCTGCCTAACGTCTGCCTAACGTCTGCCTAACGTCTGCCTAACGTCTGCCTAACGCCTGCCTAACGCCTGCCTAACGCCTGCCTAACGCCTGCCTAACGCCTGCCTAACGCCTGCCTAACGCCTGCCTAACGCCTGCCTAACGCCTGCCTAACGCCTGCCTAACGCCTGCCTAACGCCTGCCTAACGCCTGCCTAACGCCTGCCTAACGCCTGCCTAACGCCTGCCTAACGCCTGCCTAACGCCTGCCTAACGCCTGCCTAACGCCTGCCTAACGCCTGCCTAACGCCTGCCTAACGCCTGCCTAACGCCTGCCTAACGCCTGCCTAACGCCTGCCTAACGCCTGCCTAACGCCTGCCTAACGCCTGCCTAACGCCTGCCTAACGCCTGCCTAACGTCTGGCTAACGTCTGGCTAACGCCTGGCTAACGTCTGGCTAACGTCTGGCTAACGTCTGGCTAACGTCTGTGTGCAGTACATGTACGAGCTGAACGACAGCAGAGATAAGGTGGTGCTGGGAAAGGGCACGTATGGAGTGGTTTACGCCGGGAGAGACTTGAGCAACCAGGTCCGCATCGCCATCAAGGAGATTCCTGAGAGGGACAGCACGTAAGGGACACACACGTCACACACAAGGGACACACACGTCAGACACACGTCACACACACAAGGGACACACACGTCACACACATGCCACATACACGTCACACACAAGCCACACATCACACACACGTCACACACACGTCACACACATGCCACACACATGCCACACACACATCACACACACATCACACACACGCCACACACACACGGCACACACATCACACACATGCCACACACACACATCACACACACGTCACACACACGTCACACACACACATCACACACACGTCACACACACACATCACACACACGCCACACACACACATCACACACACCCACACACACACATCACACACACGCCACATGTCACACACACACGCCACACACACGTCACGCACACATCACACACACGTCACACACACACATCATCACACACACACGTCACACACACACACGTCACACACACGCCACACGTCACACACACACGCCACACAAACGTCACGCACACGTCACACACACACGTCACACACACATCACACACACGTCACACACACACGTCACACACACACGTCACACACACACGTCACACACACACATCACACGCACACGTCACTCACACACACACGCCACACACACGTCACGCACACATCACACACACGTCACACACACACGTCACATTCACACACACACACACACGTCACACACACATCACACGCACACGTCACTCACACACACACACGCCACACACACGTCACGCACACATCACGCCACACGTCACACACACGTCACACACACACATCACACACACGCCACACACACATCACACACACGCCACACACACACATCACACACACGCCACACGTCACACACATGTCACACACACATGTCACACACGTCACACACACACGCCACACGTCACACATCACACACACGTCACACACACACACACACACACACGCCACACACACACACATCACACACACGCCACACACACGCCACATGTCACACACACACGCCACACACACGTCACGCACACATCACACACATGCCACACGTCACACACACACATCACACACACGTCACACACACACGTCACACACACGTCACACACACACGTCACACACACACGTCACACACACACGTCACACACACGTCACACACACGTCACGCGCACATCACACACACGTCACACACACACATCACACACACGTCACACACATGCCATACGTCACACACACACGTCACACACACACATCACACGTCACACACACACACGTCACACACACAAACGCCACACACACATCACACACACGCCACACGTCACACACACACATCACACACACGTTACACACACACATCACACACGTCACACACATCACACACACGCCACACGTCACACACACGTCACACACGCCACACGTCACACACACACACCACACGTCACACACGTCACACACACACACACGTCACACACACACACGTCACACACACACACATCACACACACGTCACACACACACACATCACACACACGTCACACACACACACACACACACACACACACACACACACACGTCACACACACACACATCACACACACGTCACACACACACACACACACACACACACGTCACACACACGTCACACACACACACATCACACACATCTTGCAAAAACTAATCCTGGTTTGGGAAGTTTGAGAGGAACGTCAGGAATGTTGTCAGTTTGAGTCTCAAGAGGTTTGTTTGTCTTTCAGTGTTTCAAATCTACTGAGACTTGAGGTTTTTAAATCTTTGGGTGAAAAAAGGTCTCAAACGTATTCATTTAAAAAAAATAATGTTAACCTAAGACACACACACATACGCACACACTATAAATGTACACATACGCACACACTATAAATGTACACGTACGCACACACTATAAATGTACACGTACGCACACACTATAAATGTACACATACGCACACACTATAAATGTACACATACGCACACACTATAAATGTACACGTACGCACACACTATAAATGTACACGTACGCACACACTATAAATGTACACGTACGCACACACTATAAATGTACACGTACGCACACACTATAAATGTACACGTACGCACACACTATAAATGTACACGTACGCACACACTATAAATGTACACATACGCACACACTATAAATGTACACATACGCACACAGACACGTACAGTACATACAGTACACACACCCACACAAGTACAGACAAACACATGCACGTACACAGGTAAACGCACACATGCTCACACACATACATACAGTATACATGTACACACACACACATACATACAGTATACATGTACACACACACACACACATACAGTATACATGTACACACACGCACACACATACAGTATACATGTACACACACACACATACAGTATACATGTACACACACACACACATACAGTATACATGTACACACACACACACATACAGTATACATGTACACACACACACATACATACAGTATACATGTACACACACACACATACATACAGTATACATGTACACACACACACATACATACAGTATACATGTACACATACATACAGTATACATGTACACGCACACATGTACACATGCACACACACACATACAGTATACATGTACACATGCACACACACACATACAGTATACATGTACACGCACACACATACATACAGTATACATGTACACGCACACACATACATACAGTATACATGTACACATACATACAGTACATGTACACATACATACAGTATACATGTACACATGCGCACACATACATACAGTATACATGTACACATGCGCACACATACATACAGTATACATGTACACATGCGCACACATACATACAGTATACATGTACACGCACACACATACATACAGTATACATGTACACGCACACACATACATACAGTATACATGTACACGCACACACACACACGTACAGATGAACACATACATGTACACAAATGAACGCACACACACAGATACTTGATAATATTATTAAAATGCCACAGCAGCAGAGGTCGTGTACAATGATAATAATACTTTTACAATATACAAAGAACCTCATAAGTACTTAAAATACCCATAATATTAGATCTGACCATTACAGAGGTGTTCTTGTTGACTGGTTTTATGGAGGGACGCACACACTGAAGTCAACGTTGTTCCGATAAAACCTCAAACATTCCATACATTTACATTTGCATTGACTTTGTGTTTTTCCTCAGATATTCCCAACCGCTCCACGAAGAGATCGCTCTCCACAAGAGACTGAAGCACAGAAACATAGTGCAGTATTTAGGGTCGCTGAGTCAGGACGGGTTTATCAAGATCTTTATGGAGGAGGTCCCTGGAGGTACGAGGAAGTCTCTTTTTAATCCCATATAAATACAAATATATATATATATAAATACATGTACACATCATATTCAGCCTCAGGTCTGACTCGGTTCATATTGTATCAGTGTTTGGCTCATGGGAAACTAAGGGGAAGGTACTTACACTGCAAAAAAGTGATTTATAGTGATTTTAAAAGATACAGAAATGTCTCCCTTGGAATGAGAAAAAGTGGCTTCGTCCCACTGGAGAATCTTGTTTTAATTTAGCTGATTTTAGCATTATTTTACCTCATATTTTATCAATTTTTGCAGTGTAGCCCTAACCCTAGTAGTAGTTGGAGACATGTTGAAAAAGGACATGTAGAATAAAGACTAATAAATGCTGAATAAATATCAATGAAGAGAAAATTAACCATATTAGCACTTAATTATCTGTTAGTGAGGGTTAAGCTAAAGTGTTATTGTTTAGTCTTTAAATGAAAATATGCAGAGACAGATTTGTTCTGCAGCAGTTACAGCGACACGTTCAGTCTCCTTTATTTTCCATTCGCCAATTACCACTATACAATATTTAATTAGTCAGATATTAGGCTCAACTGTTACAAAATAAACTAACGAACGCAATAAATAAACAAACAGGAAGTATTATCTGTATCGCACAATTCATGCAAGAACTGTATAAAGTTCTGTGTATTCTAGTGCAAGCAAAGTGTAGTTATGTTAGCATCTGTACATGTTAGCATCTGTACATGTTAGCATCTGCACATGCTAGCATCTGTACATGTTAGCATCTGTACATGTTAGCATCTGCACATGCTAGCATCTGCATATGTTAGCATCTGTACATGTTAGCATCTGTACATGTTAGCATCTGTACATGTTAGCATCTGCACATGCTAGCATCTGTACATGTTAGCATCTGTACATGTTAGCATCTGCACATGCTAGCATCTGCACATGTTAGCATCTGTACATGTTAGCATCTGTACATGTTAGCATCTGTACATGTTAGCAGCAGTATGTTTTCTATACAACTTTATTAAAATTTAAAACCCACAGAAAAGAGTATGACTTTATAAAACCAGTGTCTCCACGTCTCGGACTGAACCTGATGTTTGTTCTTTAGAAGAAGAAACTTAAAGAAATTAAATGACCCTTTGAACGGTCACATGTTCCAGTCGTGACGTGTGATTGGCTGAGCTGGTGTCATATTGAAAGGCTATTTTTAGGCCTAGGTGGTTCTAGTGACACTCTGCAGACTGGACTGAACTGGACTGGGCCGGACTGAACTGAGCTTGTTTATGGGCTTGTTCACACTAAAGGGCACAAAAGTGTGACAAAAGGCCAAACATTAGATTTTAATAATCAGAAGATATTTTATGTTTTTCATGTTTCCAAGCACCTCCTCTGTTCATTGGAAGTTTCTAGAACAAAACTGTTTTATACATTAGACAAGTTTCCTATAGCGGCCCTGTTTATTTTATGTAACAGACGTGATGATTTGACGGAATGAACTTTGTGGAAGTTTGATGGTATTTTCAGATGTCCACATTTGATTCAGAGATTCTATTTTTTTTACAAAAAATAGAAACAAAGTTATACTTTCATATTATCAACCAATTAAATGTGAAAACAGACCAGATTTTTTTTTTCTCAAGTTTAATTTTTAGAGAAAAGAGGACTGTCCTCATCACGTCCGTTATACATTTTTCAGGGGTCATTTAATTAATAAATTATTTTTTATTTTTTCACGATTCCTTTTTATATGAAGTGATTTCCTTCTGTTGTGTTAACCATGTAAATCTTGTGGGATTTCATCTTCTGCTTTTTCAGACTGAGGACATTTTATTTTCTATGTAACTGCGTCACAGTAGAATGGTCCAATCAGAGGCTGATTTGGTCGTTTAAAATGTTGCTAAAAACTTTTATGTCAATCTTTCCTTTAGATTTCTTCCACACTATCTCTTCAATGTGTCTGTGTTTGAAATCTTTCTTCCAATCTATGAAACTAATTTTAGTTTTTAAGTTATAACCTTTTAAAGTCCAGATACTTCAATTGTCACTTTACTGTGAACACACTCATATCCACAGTATCTTGTCTGCACTATTACTATTACTACTGGAAGCCTTGATATACACAATTTAATTTAGTTTTTTTCTTATTGTAAAATGTATACAATCTTTTGAAGACATGTGACCTGAGATCTAGTATACGTAATAGCCAAAGAAAATATAGAATAAATATAAATATAGAATAAAATATAGAATAATAAAACATAGAATAAAATAAAGAATAATAAAATATAGAATACAATATAGAATAGCCAACCACCACCAGTTTTTTTAACTTATAAGCTGCATTAATATGTTTTTATAGTGCTCTCTACATGTCCTGGTAAATATTCGGACATTTTAGCGCAAATTAGATTAAAAAAAATCTCACTTTTGAGACTAGATCCGTCTGTGTGACATTTTTTAATTTAGTGCCTGGCCTCTCATTGGCTCTGGAGGTACGTGGTATCAAAGCAGCCAAGGCTCACACACGCCCCCTAGTGAGTTGGAGTTGGAATCGCGAGCATTTTACAGTGATTTCCTGGTTATCAATTTACATACACTGCAAAAAATGATCAAATATGAGATGATAATTGCTAGAATCGAGTTTTTTTTAACTTGACTTAAGTTCATTCTGACTGTCTTAAAATGAGATTTGCCAATGAGAAAAGCAATTTTGACTTGATTCAAGAACTATTGCTTTATTTTCTCATTCCAAGAGAGAAATATCTTGTATATTTTTTAAAACAAGACCATTTTTCTTGTTCCACTGGCAAATCTTGTTTTAAGGCAGTCAAAATGTGCTCGAATTTAGATACATTTAGCCAAATTTTAGCATTTTTTGTCTTTAATTCTGTCATCTTTTGCAGTGTAGTAGTAAGTTAGCTCTTTATCGTAGCATTTCTAGTGTATTAGTTTAGCTGCATTTTGTCCTGTTCCGCCGGGCCACACCCTTTTCATAGAACATTTTCACATTTTAAGGCTGTTCACTGGCCTTAAGTTGTAATCAGTAACTAAAACAGAACTATAATAAGACTTGTTTTAGCACTACTGAAATCTGCTGTTTTATTTTGTGCATTTTGTTCCATTGAATCCTGCTTTTACTTGATTGTGTTTGTAAATGACTGCACTGCAAAAGATGACAGAATTAAAGACAAAAAAATGCTAAAATTTGGCTAAATGTATCTAAATTTGAGCACATTTTGACTGCCTTAAAACAAGATTTGCCAGTGGAACAAGAAAAATGGTCTTGTTTTAAAAAGATACAAGATATTTTTCTCTTGGAATGAGAAAATAAAGCAATAGTTGTTGAATCAAGTCACAATTGCTTGTCTCATTGGCAAATCTCATTTTAAGACAGTCAGAATGAACTTAAGTTAAGTTTTAAAAAAAAAAAAGATTCTAGCAATTATCATCTCATATTTGATCATTTTTTTGCAGTGTGTCTTCATTGGATCCATTTGAAACTGCAATATTGTAAAACGTCTTGTTCCTGCAGGAAGCTTGTCGTCGCTGCTTCGCTCCAAATGGGGTCCGCTCAAAGACAACGAAGCCACCGTCGTCTTCTACACCAAACAGATCCTGGAGGGACTCAAATATCTCCACGACAATCAGATCGTGCACAGAGACATTAAAGTAAGTTTAGGAAAATCATGTGGCCAAAAAAGTCGAGCTCGACCTTTTTCATTTACAGGGCGGCACGGTGGCTGAGTGGTTAGCACTCTCGCCTCTCAGCAAGAAGGTCCTGGGTTCGAATCCCGGTTGGACCAGGGCCTTTCTGAGTGGAGTTTGTATGTTCTCCCCGTGTCTGCGTAGGTTTCCTCCGGGTGCTCCGGTTTCCCCTACCACTAAAAATATGTACAATAGGTCTGGCATGTGCCTCCTGTACTGGCACCCCTGCTCCCAAAAATAACAATTGTAAACCGCTTTGAGACTCCAATGTGCAGTGAAAAGGTGGTATATAAATAAAGATTACATTACATTACATTACATTACATACATTACATACATTACATTACTTACATTACTTTACATTACATTACTTACATTACTTACATTACATACAGTGCCTTGCGAAAGTATTCGGCCCCCTTGAACCTTTCAACATTTTGCCACATTTCAGGCTTCAAACTGTGGGGCGTGCAATATTATTCGGCCCCTTTACTTTCAGTGCAGCAAACTCACTCCAGAAGTTCAGTGAGGATCTTTGAATGATCCAATGTTGTCCTAAATGACTGATGATGATAAATAGAATGCACTTGTGTGTAATCAAGTCTCCGTATAAATGCACCTGCTCTTTGATAGTCTCAGGGTTCTGTTTAAAGCGCAGAGAGAACCATGAAGACAAAGGAACACACCAGGCAGGTCCGAGATACTGTTGTGGAGAAGTTTAAAGCCAGATTTGGATACAAAAAGATTTCCCAAGCTTTAAACATCTCAAGGAGCACTGTGCAAGCAATTATATTGAAATGGAAGGAGTATCAGACCACTGCAAATCTACCAAGACCCGGCCGTCCCTCCAAACTTTCATCTCAAACAAGGAGAAGACTGATCAGAGATGCAGTCAAGAGGCCCATGATCACTGGATAAACTGCAGATAACTACAGCTGAGGTGGGGATGGTGTGTTCAGGGTGATGAGCTGTGTTGCTTTTACGCCAAACATATCGTTTTGCATTGTGGCCAAAAAGTTTGATTTTGGTTTCATCTGACCAGAGCACCTTCTTCCACATGTTTGGTGTGTCTCCCAGGTGGCTTGTGGCAAACTTTAAGAGACTTTTTATGGATATCTTTGAGAAATGGCCACTCTTCCATAAAGGCCAGATTTGTGCAGTGCACGACTGATTGTTGTCCTATGGACAGACTCTCCCACCTCAGCTGTAGTTATCTGCAGTTCATCCAGAGTGATCATGGGCCTCTTGTCTGCATCTCTGATCAGTCTTCTCCTTGTTTGAGATGACAGTTTGGAGGGACGGCCAGGTCTTGGTAGATTTGCAGTGGTCTGATACTCCTTCCATTTCAATATAATTGCTTGCACAGTGCTCCTTGAGATGTTTAAAGCTTGGGAAATCTTTTTGTATCCAAATCCGGCTTTAAACTTCTCCACAACAGTATCTCGGACCTGCCTGGTGTGTTCCTTTGTCTTCATGGTTCTCTCTGCGCTTTAAACAGAACCCTGAGACTATCAAAGAGCAGGTGCATTTATACGGAGACTTGATTACACACAGGTGCATTCTATTTATCATCATCAGTCATTTAGGACAACATTGGATCATTCAAAGATCCTCACTGAACTTCTGGAGTGAGTTTGCTGCACTGAAAGTAAAGGGGCCGAATAATATTGCACGCCCCACTTTTCAGTTTTTAATTTTTTTTTAAAGTTTAAATTATCCAATAAATTCCGTTCCACTTCACGATTGTGTCCCACTTGTTGTTGATTCATGACAAAAAAAATAAATTTTATATCTATATGTTTGAAGACTGAAATGTGGAAAAATGTTGAAAGGTTCAAGGGGGCCGAATACTTTTGCAAGGCACTGTACATTACTTACATTACTTACATTACATTACTTTACATTACATTACTTTACATTACTTTACATTACATTACGTTTGATCTGACTTTAGGGGGAAAACGTCCTGATCAATACTTACAGCGGCGTACTCAAGATTTCTGATTTTGGGACGTCAAAACGATTGGCAGGAATCAACCCTTGCACCGAAACGTTTGCAGGTAAGATTTAAGATTAAAGATCCCAGAAGCTTTGTTTACGTTTTGAGTCTGTTTGTAAAAAAAGACATTTGTTCATGACGTGTTTCTGAAATCCATCCAGTGCATGCAGTGAGTTCATAAAGGATCTAAATCAATAATAATGAAGCATAACCTTTTATATAGCACTTCATGTCAATGTTCTTTCACTCCATACAAACTACTAAGGTAGCCACAGCTGCCCTGGGGCACACTGACCACAGGGCGTCAGTGGCTCAGTTGGTAGAGCATTGGCCTCAACACGCCTCACTGACTCCCACTGATGTCTGCTGTTGTTGTGTCCTTGGGCAAGACACTTAAAGATCTTATGCCGGGTTTGATTTATTTAGAAATACAGTTTTAATACCATTTTATATTAGAAGAGAACTACTAAAGGTTTCAAAATCAGTTGTTGTTTTTTTTGTCTGATCCCCCCAAATCGAAATAACCCCATAGCAACGCCCTTAGAGACGAAAAACTTCACAGCCCTTGGTGACGTCAGAGTGGGTACGTTTCAACGCTGTAAGTTGTTTACAATTTGGTATTCGTTCTTTTTTCGCGGATATTCAAGATGACAAGGCCGTGTACAGCGAGTGTGACATAAATACTAGAATGTAACTCTTTGTTGTCATTGAGATAGTCCAGTGGTTGTGTCGATGGACTGACAATCCAGATACTTGGGTTCAAATCCCACCTCAGACACTTTTTCACACTCAAAACGGCAATTTATGTGTAGTGAGCAATTGTCACCTGTAGAGTGCAGTATTGTGTTGGGCATCAGTGGAGAGAAGAGAGAAAAGGCAGTCCTGTGGCATAGATCCATGGTTTTCAATGCATGGGCGTTACCCGCTGTGACGTCACACACAGGTTAGAGCATAGACAACTTAAATTCATGAAAAACACGTTCTTTTTATAAAATATAGGATTTTTTTTTGCCGGAATCTCTTTCAGATTGACATTGTCATGCAATTTTGATATCCACTATTTATTTTTTTTTAAACCCGTCATAAGGTCTTTAACCTCTGGTATGGAGGACCAAAACTGTCAAAATTATAAATAAATTAATAAATAAATAAATGTCACATTCTGCCAATAATTATTAAGATAACACAACAAATCATGCGATTTAATAAATACATATTATTATTATAAGTTTTTTTGGTTTCAAACAAAATAATAAAGCTTTATTATGTTCCTGTTCGTTCAAAGGTCAAGATTAAAATAAATATATTTTTATTATTTAACTGCTGTTTTGTGCCCAAAGAGATAATAAAATCTCATTTTTTTCTTTACCAATTAATTTATTTTCTTTATATTTTTATTTTTATTGACGTTCTGTTTTATTATTTCACGACACATTATTCCTTTCTCGTGTCTTGAAAATTAAATGCAAATTAAGGGGGCGGAGCTACAGAAAGTTAGACCAAAGCAGTCTATCATCAGAGATCGGCTGCATACATACGTTTCCTTGATATCTCTCCATTCCCCACAGTGTGAGGTCTGACCCACAGAGAGGTCTGACCTACAGAGAGGAGGTCTGATCCACACTTTTTGATGGATTAATCCATAAATGTCAATGAGTACCTGCCATTTATGTGCAAAAACCACAATGTGAAAATTATCAGACTGTAACTAAAGACAAATCTTCCAAAAAATGTTTACGGACCACCATCTTGTCTGTGTGCCATAACTGCGAGCCTGCTATTGTGACATTTCAATGAATGATGTGATAATATAAATTTGTATTCATTTTTTTAGGTTCATACAGGATTCAGTTATTTGACATAAATACATAGATATATATTTCTTCTTCATCCCTATAGAGACCTGAAATAGAGTGGGAAGAGTCTATCTTATCTTAAGAAGTAAGACTTATGAACTTCTAAGTACACATAGTAAAACAATTATTTCAACAACGACAATTATAAATTATATCATTATCATTAGTCTATCCTCATTCTCGTCACCATCACCATGGCAAAGGAAAGTGAACATTGGTAAGGTAAAGGTGCACATTAATCCCAGTAGGGCACTTCATCCTCTGCATTTTTTGACCCATCCTGTTGTCGCTAAGGCTTACGTCAGGAGCAGTGGTCGCCGTAGTAACAGCGCCCGGGAATCCATCTTGAGATGTTGATGCTCGGCTTGGTCAGGACCACCGGAGCTGGAGGATTTTACCTAGTGGTAAAATCTGCCGGTAGTAGATGATGTCAGGTACTGGCCAAAACTGACTAAGGCAGGTAATGACAGGACACTGTATGACAGTTAAATGTCGGGCTTAAATAAGATAAATATGCGTCAATTGAGCAGTATGAGTTGAGTCGTTGACCGTGTTAGAGCCATGTTTACATGACACTGCCATTAGAGGTCTAGTTGTGACAATGTAGCCCCAGAGACAGTAGAAAATACGCAGTTACAATTTTATATTAAGTGATTGTGGCAAAAAGTCAGCAGGACTCTCAAAAGTTCCCAGAAAGTGTCAGCACATACACTTGTGTAAAACAAAGTCTTTCTTATCTAAATGCTCCTTCATCTTAACATTACTGCTGAAACTAGTTGTGATCTGGCCACTGGACTCCAACATCACACGTCAGTAGAGGGATTTTCTCCAAATTATCTTCATCTTCTCCAGGTTCACGTTCAGTAGTTGAGTTCTGGTGTACAGCCTAAACACATCTCTTTTGGGGGGGTCTAGCAGGTGTTACCTAACAGAAAAAATGAGCTGTATATTAGTTAAACAAAACAATGAAGGATATTAAAAATATCATACTTACACAACAATCATAAACCATAAGTAACACAGGACGGAAATTTTCTCATGTGGGTTGCCCATCAGGAAAATGTTTCCCACATACCTGGAATTGATGAAAAATACATTAGTAATGTAGTTTTAACATTTAACAGTTTTATCTTAAGGTTTTTATTATACTTAATAAGGATGATGTGGGATTTGAACCCAGAACTGTCAACTCGTGACCCCCACGTAATTAATTAATTGATTATTGAAAATTCATATAACGTTCATATAACGAATGCGCTATTATTGTATGTGTGTAAATGCTTATCTAAAAGCATTACTGTGCATTACTATTAACAGTTAGCTAACTTGTAATAATCTGGCAAATTCCAGAACGAGTCTCACAAGCTCCACTTTGCAAATTACTTTTTTAGCAAACGTGTAATCCAATGTAAACAAGAACTAACATGAAGTGAACGCACATATACAGAAAGTGCATTACAGGTCCTGTCAAGAGCAATGTCAGAGCTTTTGTATCTGGCTAACAGGCTAACGAGGCTAACAGGCTAACGAGGCTAACAGGCTAACGAAGCTAGAAAATATAGCAGTTACTTTTTACACTCATGTCATTTATAGACAGCAACCAGTGGTTTTCTCAGATGTAATAATCAAAGCTAAACTTACCACTGCTTTCTTGTTTGGCTTAAAGCCATCTAGGTTTATATTTTTCATCCACTTCAGACACACATCTTGTTCCTGAGCTGGACCAGGAGCTTTCTGCAATCCGTATGGGGGAAGTCAGTATGGTCAGTATGTTGTAAAGGTTTAAGAAGTTCACACACGGTTCTGTTGCAGGCTTGCACAGCCGAACACACAACACGCTCTTCCAGGCATTATAAAAGACAATTCCATGACAGCCACGGGACAAACAGCTTCACGCAGCTAGATGGCACTGCTATAATGGCAGCACTGTTTAGCACGGTTTGGCCTGGTCAGTCTGCAAGAGGCGATTGCTTTCGTCTTGCTGTCTGTGGCCCGCCCCCTTCATTTGCATTTTATTATCAAGACACGAGGAAAGAATGTGTCGTGAAATAATAAAACAGAACATCAATTTTTAAAAAAAGATGAAGAAAATAAATACATGGGGAAAGAAAAAAATGAGATTTTATTATCTCTTTGGGCACAAAACGGCAGTTAAATTATAAAAATATATTTATTTTAATCTTGACCTTTGAACGAACAGAAAAATAATAAAGATGTATTATTTAGTTTGAAACCAAAAAACGTTGTATAATAATATGTATTTATTAAATCGCATGATTTGTTGTGTTATCTTAATAATTATTGGCAGAATGTGACATTTATTTATTTATTCATTTATTTATAATTTTGACAGTTTTGGTCCTCCATACTCTGGGAACAGCAGGTGCCACAGTGGGGCAGCTGTAAAGTGCCAAACTGCTGTTGTGTCCTTGGGCAAGACACTTCATCCACATTGCCTAGAATGAGTCTGGTGTGTGTGTGTGAATGGTTGGTGGTGGTGGGAGGGGCCGATGGCGCAGACTGGCTGCCTCGCTTCTGTCTGTGTGCCCCAGGGCAGCTGTGGCTACAGTAGTAGTTTATCACAACCGTGTTTGGAGTGAATGAATAATGACATGTGAAGCGTCTTTGAGTGTCCAAAAAAAGCATTGTATAAAACAGATTTATTATTATTACTGACAGAAGCGAGGCAACTAATCTGTGCCTTCGGGCCCTCCCACCGCCACCAACCATTTGCACAAGCATCAGACTCATGGACAATGTACTTATACAGTAAAAATCTGGAACAGTCTTCCTGGAGATGTGAGACAGGCCTCGTCTCTGACAATGTTTAAAACCAGGTTAAAGACAGTTCTGTTTAGCTGTGCTACAACTGAGGGATTTTATATTTTTATCTTTCTTTTTAATGTTCTGTGATTATTAATGATTTTAATGCTTTCTTGTTTTTGGTCAGCACTTTGAGTTGCCTTGTGTATGAATTGTGCTATATAAATAAACTTGCCTTGCCTTGTCTTTACAGTGTTACCTACTTTGATGGTATAACAATGTCCACACAGACATCTGCTCTTCTCCTCTATAACTTTCTAAAAACAGACTCAAAAACAAAACTTTGAAAGAGCCCCTTGGAGCTTCTCTACACTGCAAAAAGATGACAGAACTAAAGACCAAAAAATGCTAAAATTTGGCTAAACGTATCTAAATTTGAGCACATTTTGACTGCCTTAAAACAAGATTTGCCAGTGGAACAAGAAAAATGGTCTTGTTTTAAAAAGATACAAGATATTTTTCTCTTGGAATGAGAAAATAAAGCAATAGTTCTTGAATCAAGTCAAAATTGCTTGTCTCATTGGCAAATCTCATTTTAAGACAGTCAGAATGAACTTAAAGGCACACTGCGGACTTTGTGACCTAAAGAGTTGACACATATGAGTTATTTTATATGAATACTTGGGCCAATATACAGCGCTTGACACTTGCAATGCTCCGAGCGGGGCTGCCCTCTTGAAATACCGCCCATTTAAGTTTCGAGCAGACGGACCGTCTGCCACCAGGTCACGTGACTTGGAAGAAACACTTGCTTTACGGCTACAGGCGCTGATATACTCATGGAGCTAAGGCTTTTGCTACTCATTTTTCACCTGCTCGACTCCTGGTCATGGCTGAGGCAAGGAAAAATTTTAAACCTTCGGAGGAGGCTAAAAAGAGGAAACGCGAAAGGGATCGTGCTGTAAGCTGCATGTCTGTATGAGCGCTGCTCTTCACCTGGTTCCTGGATGTCATCGACTGCAAAGATGTCATTCCACGCAGCACGAGCTAGACGCAGAACTCCCTCATCCAGGATATAGAAGTCCATGTGTGGTAGATTACTAATGCAGCGGTCTGGAGGCTGACCACAGCAGAGTCTCTCAATATCTGTAGGCATGTCTCTACAGTTTGAACACACACACCAGTGCATGCTGTCTGAATACACACTCAAAAGACACCGGCTGACTGTTTGTTGACTTTTGCGACAGTGCTGAGTTGCTTGTGGCCACTAGGGGCGCTAAACGTGAAAGTTGCAGGTCTAGCGCCCCTAGTGGCCAAGAGTTACACGGTGTGCCTTTAAGTAAAGTTTAAAAAAAAACTCGATTCCAGCAATTATGATCTCATATTTGATCATTTTTTGCAGTGTAGACTCTTCTTCCAGGTTTTAGTCTGTGTCTCCTCCCGCTTTAGCCTCTGTGTGTGTTGACGTTATGGACAGAGCAGCTGTGGGCAGGGTTTGGAAACATTTTTGTCCGATCTGGAGGGTGTGGGGTCATGTTCTGCTCCAGTGTCGGCAGAAGGACTCACGGCACGTGTTAAATCCTCCACAGCTTTACTATACACTGCAAAAAATATAAAATGTGAGGTAATAAACGCTCGAATCAAGTTTATTTTTTCTGAATCTGAGCACATTCTGACAGTCTTCAAACAAGGCCAATGGGACAAAGCCATTTAGCCAAAATTAAGATGCATTTAGCCAAAGTTGAGAGATGTTTAACTTATTTTTCATCACGTTTTGCAGTGTAGCTATAGGCAGTGTACTCTGATGCATTTATAATATCAGGACCAGAGACATTTCGACACCGGGACCATTGTTAATTGTGTAAACTACCGAAGGTAATTAAAAAAGGTCTATGACACTGCCAGGGCTTCATGGTTGATGACAAAACAAAGCAGATTTCTATTTTTGTATATTTTAGATATCTTGTAGAGCTCAGCCGCGGTTCTGTTAACAGGAAGTGGGTTACCGGTGTCCTGGGGCACGGCTATTTTAACTCTGGTGGAGGGCCAAGGAATTGGTTTCTGGGGTTTACTGCTGGGGTCAGAGACGTGGGTTACAGTTTGTCACTTCCCACTGTAGCTCATGCTGTTCCCAGAGGTCTCCCATCACAGTGTTAACCCGGCCCTGCCCTGCTTAGCTTCAGCAGTCTGACGGGATCTGGCCTCTTGTATCTTCCGTCTCTTCAGGAACACTTCAGTACATGGCCCCAGAGATCATAGACCAGGGGCCTCGGGGTTATGGGAAACCGGCCGACATCTGGTCTCTCGGCTGCACCATCATCGAGATGGCGACCGGCAAGACCCCGTTTCACGAGCTCGGGAGTCCACAGGCCGCCATGTTTAAGGTAAAGGAGGGTCCACAGGCCGCCATGTTTAAGGTAAAGAAGAGTCCACAGGCCGCCATGTTTAAGGTAAAGAAGAGTCCACAGGCCGCCATGTTTAAGGTAAAGGAGAGTCCACAGGCCGCCATGTTTAAGGTAAAGGAGAGTCCACAGGCCGCCATGTTTAAGGTAAAGGAGAGACCACAGGCCGCCATGTTTAAGGTAAAGAAGAGTCCACAGGCCGCCATGTTTAAGGTAAAGGAGGCCGCCATGTTTAAGGTAAAGGAGAGACCACAGGCCGCCATGTTTAAGGTAAAGGAGAGTCCACAGGCCGCCATGTTTAAGGTAAAGAAGAGACCACAGGCCGCCATGTTTAAGGTAAAGGAGAGACCACAGGCCGCCATGTTTAAGGTAAAGGAGGCCGCCATGTTTAAGGTAAAGGAGAGACCACAGGCCGCCATGTTTAAGGTAAAGAAGAGTCCACAGGCCGCCATGTTTAAGGTAAAGGAGAGTCCACAGGCCGCCATGTTTAAGGTAAAGGAAGGAGTCCACAGGCCGCCATGTTTAAGGTAAAGGAGGCCGCCATGTTTAAGGTAAAGGAGAGTCCACAGGCCGCCATGTTTAAGGTAAAGGAGAGTCCACAGGCCGCCATGTTTAAGGTAAAGGAGAGACCACAGGCCGCCATGTTTAAGGTAAAGGAGAGACCACAGGCCGCCATGTTTAAGGTAAAGGAGAGTCCACAGGCCGCCATGTTTAAGGTAAAGGAGAGACCACAGGCCGCCATGTTTAAGGTAAAGGAGGCCGCCATGTTTAAGGTAAAGGAGAGACCACAGGCCGCCATGTTTAAGGTAAAGGAGAGTCCACAGGCCGCCATGTTTAAGGTAAAGGAGAGACCACAGGCCGCCATGTTTAAGGTAAAGGAGAGACCACAGGCCGCCATGTTTAAGGTAAAGGAGGCCGCCATGTTTAAGGTAAAGGAGAGACCACAGGCCGCCATGTTTAAGGTAAAGGAGAGACCACAGGCCGCCATGTTTAAGGTAAAGGAGAGACCACAGGCCGCCATGTTTAAGGTAAAGGAGAGTCCACAGGCCGCCATGTTTAAGGTAAAGAAGGGACCACAGGCCGCCATGTTTAAGGTAAAGGAGAGACCACAGGCCGCCATGTTTAAGGTAAAGGAGAGCACAGGCCGCCATGTTTAAGGTAAAGGAGAGTCCACAGGCCGCCATGTTTAAGGTAAAAGAGTCCAAGCGCATAAGTAAGAGTCCACAGGCCGCCATGTTTAAGGTAAAGGAGAGTCCACAGGCCGCCATGTTTAAGGTAAAGGAGAGTCCACAGGCCGCCATGTTTAAGGTAAAGGAGAGTCCACAGGCCGCCATGTTTAAGGTAAAGGAGAGTCCACAGGCCGCCATGTTTAAGGTAAAGGAGGCCGCCATGTTTAAGGTAAAGAGAGACCACAGGCCGCCATGTTTAAGGTAAAGGAGAGTCCACAGGCCGCCATGTTTAAGGTAAAGGAGAGTCCACAGGCCGCCGCTGTTTAAGGTAAAGAAGAGTCCACAGGCCGCCATGTTTAAGGTAAAGGAGGCCGCCATGTTTAAGGTAAAGGAGAGTCCACAGGCCGCCATGTTTAAGGTAAAGGAGAGTCCACAGGCCGCCATGTTTTAAGGTAAAGGAGAGTCCACAGGCCGCCATGTTTAAGGTAAAGGAGAGAGACCACAGGCCGCCATGTTTAAGGTAAAGGAGGCCGCCATGTTTAAGGTAAAGGAGAGACCACAGGCCGCCATGTTTAAGGTAAAGAAGGTCCACAGGCCGCCATGTTTAAGGTAAAGAAGAGTCCACAGGCCGCCATGTTTAAGGTAAAGGAGAGTCCACAGGCCGCCATGTTTAAGGTAAAGGAGAGACCACAGGCCGCCATGTTTAAGGTAAAGGAGAGTCCACAGGCCGCCATGTTTAAGGTAAAGGAGGCCGCCATGTTTAAGGTAAAGGAGAGTCCACAGGCCGCCATGTTTAAGGTAAAGAAGAGTCCACAGGCCGCCATGTTTAAGGTAAAGGAGAGACCACAGGCCGCCATGTTTAAGGTAAAGGAGGCCGCCATGTTTAAGGTAAAGGAGAGTCCACGGGCCGCCATGTTTAAGGTAAAGGAGAGTCCACAGGCCGCCATGTTTAAGGTAAAGGAGGCCGCCATGTTTAAGGTAAAGAAGAGTCCACAGGCCGCCATGTTTAAGGTAAAGGAGAGTCCACAGGCCGCCATGTTTAAGGTAAAGGAGGCCGCCATGTTTAAGGTAAAGGAGAGTCCACAGGCCGCCATGTTTAAGGTAAAGGAAGGAGTCCACAGGCCGCCATGTTTAAGGTAAAGAAGGGACCACAGGCCGCCATGTTTAAGGTAAAGGAGAGTCCACAGGCCGCCATGTTTAAGGTAAAAGGACCACAGGCCGCCATGTTTAAGGTAAAGAGAGACCACAGGCCGCCATGTTTAAGGTAAAGAAGAGTCCACAGGCCGCCATGTTTAAGGTAAAGGAGAGACCACAGGCCGCCATGTTTAAGGTAAAGGAGGCCGCCATGTTTAAGGTAAAGGAGAGACCACAGGCCGCCATGTTTAAGGTAAAGAAGAGTCCACAGGCCGCCATGTTTAAGGTAAAAGGAGGCCGCCATGTTTAAGGTAAAGGAGAGACCACAGGCCGCCATGTTTAAGGTAAAGGAGAGTCCACAGGCCGCCATGTTTAAGGTAAAGGAGAGACCACAGGCCGCCATGTTTAAGGTAAAGGAGAGACCACAGGCCGCCATGTTTAAGGTAAAGGAGGCCGCCATGTTTAAGGTAAAGGAGAGTCCACAGGCCGCCATGTTTAAGGTAAAGGAGAGTCCACAGGCCGCCATGTTTAAGGTAAAGAAGAGTCCACAGGCCGCCATGTTTAAGGTAAAGGAGGCCGCCATGTTTAAGGTAAAGGAGAGACCACAGGCCGCCATGTTTAAGGTAAAGGAGAGTCCACAGGCCGCCATGTTTAAGGTAAAGAAGAGTCCACAGGCCGCCATGTTTAAGGTAAAGGAGAGACCACAGGCCGCCATGTTTAAGGTAAAGGAGAGTCCACGGGCCGCCATGTTTAAGGTAAAGGAGAGTCCACAGGCCGCCATGTTTAAGGTAAAGGAGAGTCCACAGGCCGCCATGTTTAAGGTAAAGGAGAGTCCACAGGCCGCCATGTTTAAGGTAAAGGAGGCCGCCATGTTTAAGGTAAAGAAGAGTCCACAGGCCGCCATGTTTAAGGTAAAGAAGAGTCCACAGGCGCCATGTTTAAGGTAAAGGAGAGTCCACAGGCCGCCATGTTTAAGGTAAAGGAGAGTCCACAGGCCGCCATGTTTAAGGTAAAGGAGAGTCCACAGGCCGCCATGTTTAAGGTAAAGGAGAGTCCACAGGCCGCCATGTTTAAGGTAAAGGAGGAGTCCACAGGCCGCCATGTTTAAGGTAAAGGAGGGCCACAGGCCGCCATGTTTAAGGTAAAGAAAGTCCACAGGCCGCCATGTTTAAGGTAAAGAAGGTCCACAGGCCGCCATGTTTAAGGTAAAGGAGAGTCCACAGGCCGCCATGTTTAAGGTAAAGGAAGAGTCCACAGGCCGCCATGTTTAAGGTAAAGGAGGCCGCCATGTTTAAGGTAAAGGAGAGTCCACAGGCCGCCATGTTTAAGGTAAAGAAGGGACCACAGGCCGCCATGTTTAAGGTAAAGGAGGCCGCCATGTTTAAGGTAAAGGAGGCCGCCATGTTTAAGGTAAAGGAGAGTCCACAGGCCGCCATGTTTAAGGTAAAGGAAGGAGTCCACAGGCCGCCATGTTTAAGGTAAAGGAGGGACCACAGGCCGCCATGTTTAAGGTAAAGGAGGCCGCCATGTTTAAGGTAAAGGAGGGTCCACAGGCCGCCATGTTTAAGGTAAAGGAGAGTCCACAGGCCGCCATGTTTAAGGTAAAGGAGAGTCCACAGGCCGCCATGTTTAAGGTAAAGGAGGCCGCCATGTTTAAGGTAAAGGAGAGTCCACAGGCCGCCATGTTTAAGGTAAAGGAAGGAGTCATTTTATAAACAAGATAGTCCTACGCAAACACACACCATAATGAAAGTAAGAGTTTGTAAGAAAAGAGAAAGTTTTAACTTGTATTTTAACTAAATATACTTTTTCCTTGCAATTGAGCATCTAGAAAGGCGCCAAAGAAATGCGTATTGTTATCATTATTGTTATTAGTGTTACACAGATCTGCATGAAATAATACGAATAAAAAAGAAACACATGAGAACAAAAACAGGAAAGTGTTTTAAGTCCGTTTTAAAATCCATTCTGCATCAAATATGAAAAATAGGCCCTAGATGACGCACGGTGGCTGAGTGGATAGCACTCTCGCCCCTCAGCAAGAAGGTCCTGAGTTCGAATCCCGGTCGGACCAGGGCCTTTCTGAGTGGAGTTTGCATGTTCTCCCCGTGTCTGCGTAGGTTTCCTCCGGGTACTCCGGTTTCCCCTACCACTAAAAATATGTCCAATAGTTCTGGCATGCGCCTCCTGTACTGGCCCCGCTCCCATCTCTGTGTGGAGTGAGAGACTAATGCCCAAAATTAACAATTGTAAACCGCTTTGAGACTCAGATCTGCAGTGAAAAGGCGGTATATAAATAAAAACTAACTAACTAAAGATGAAAGAGATGAAGTAAAGAAGTTATTTTATGAACCTTTTTTCTATCACTGCATTTCTTGTGTTTGAACTGTTGTTGGCAAAAGGACAGTTTTGTAAAGTCCTCAGAATACGACACAACGTGATAAAATATAAGGTAATTATTTAATGAAGTGTTTTTTTATTGTAATTTGAGCACATTCTGACTGATTTAAAACTAGGTTCTCCAATGGGACAAAACCATTTAGTCGTATTTCAAGAACTGTTGCTTTATTTTCTCATTCCAACTGAGACTTTTCTTGTCCTGTTGGAAAATCTTGTTTTAAGGCTCAAGTCAGAATGAGCTCAAATTAAGATACATTTTTTAACGTATTCTTCATCACTTTTTGCAGTGTACTGTTGTGATTTTAGGACTGTACCAAAATGAAACGAATTGAATGGAAAGAAGGACGTGTCGTGTGAGAGAGCATTTCAAAACAATGTGTATTTGGGACGCTCTTATAGACTGTGATAAGATCAGATTAGAGAGACTTTTCTGATCTCACGCTGGAGAAATGCACATGCCACATTTTGGGGCGCAGAAAGAATCGCTCAGACCGTGCAAAAAAACAGAAGTGTGCAAACATTTTTTTTTTTTTTTTTATTATTATTAGTTTATTTAAACAGGGACAATGCACATTAATTAACATCACTGTAAATGTGCCAGTTTTAGCTCCAAAGCTAATTTTCAACTGTAGTCCCTGGGCAAGATGTAGATTGCCAACAATATATAACAACTAGAAACTTGCAATGGCTGAAGCCATTGCGATTGACTGCGGAACAGATCTAATGTGGAAATCTGCTAAAAAAAATCCTTGAAATCCTTTAAAAAGCCTTGAAACTGTTAAAATACTTGATAGATATTTGAAACTCCTGAAGTCCTTGAAATTGTTGAAACCTTTAAACTCCTGAAATCCTTGAAACTGTTGAAACATTGAAACTCCTGAAATCCTTGAAACTTTTTTAAACCTGGAAACTGTTGAAAGTGTGGAAACTCCTGAAATCCTTGAACCTCCTGATATCCTTGAAACTGGTTAAATTCTTAAACAGCTGAAATCCTTGAAACTACTGAATGTATTGAAAGTGTCCTTGAAACTGAAAAATCCCCTCACCGCTGAAACAATTTGGTTCCTGTAACTAAGGAAACCTGGTCTGTGGTCATTATCTGGTGGTGGTCTGAGTCTTCGTTTGGGTCTTGGTCTGGTGGTATAATGCAACCTATTAGGTTGCATTATACATGAAAAAACCCTATTAAGTTGCATTATACTGGTTTACATGGAAAAATCCCTATTAAGTTGCATTATACTGGTTTACATGGAAAAATCCCCATTAAGTTGCATTATACTGGTTTACATGGAAAAATCCCTATTAAGTTGCATTATACTGGTTTACATGGAAAAATCCCTATTAAGTTGCATAATACTGGTTTACATGGAAAAATCCCCATTAAGTTGCATTATACTGGTTTACATGGAAAAATCCCCATTAAGTTGCATTATACTGGTTTACATGGAAAAATCCCTATTAAGTTGCATTGTACTGGTTTACATGGAAAAAACCCTATTAAGTTGCATTATACTGGTTTACATGGAAAAAAACCCTATTAAGTTGCATTATACTGGTTTACATGTAAAAACCCCTATTAAGTTGCATTATACTGGTTTACATGGAAAAATCCCCATTAAGTTGCATTATACTGGTTTACATGAAAAAAAACCCTATTAAGTTGCATTATACTGGTTTACATGAAAAAACCCTATTAAGTTGCATTATACTGGTTTACATGGAAAAATCCCTATTAAGTTGCATTATACTGGTTTACATGGAAAAATCCCTATTAGGTTGCATGATTACACTGAAGTCCTTGAAACTGCTGAAGTCCTTGAAACTGCTGAAGTCCTTGAAACTGCTGAAGTCCTTGAAACTGTTGAAGTCCTTGAAACTCTTGAAATCTTGAAACTGCTGAAATCCTTGAAACTGTTGAATCCTTGAAACTGTTGAATCATTGAAACTGTAGAAATGTCTGAAAGAGCTGAAGTCCTATTAAAATGCATGGGCCTATTAAATTCATTGCAGAATTCTCAATGCAGATTTTTGTCCGATTGCGGAAAAACCGGAAATCGCTGAAGTCCCAAAAGTAATAGCAATAATCTCCCAAACATGTGGAACGTTTTGATGTATAACTTGTGGAAATTGTTGAAAATGTGAAAGCTGTGAAACGTGTCAAAAAAAATGACGGAATAAAGAAATACAAAACCAATGGTTGACTGCGGAAGGTTCCGCAGTCAATCAATAACAACAACAATCATTATTAACCTAAAAATGATAAAACAATTCATTAGTATGAGCTCCCACACATGTTAACGGTTAAAAATATATGAGCTCAGTTGGTAGGGCGTTGGCCTTTGGGCCTGGAGGTCGTGAGTTCGATTCCCACCATGGGACCTACTCCGACTGCTCCCACTAATGACTGCTGTCGTTGTGTCCTTGGGCAAGACACTTAACCCCACATTGCCTGAAGCCCCCCGCTGAATTGACGGAGCAGCCATCTTCCTGTGGACTCACCCCCTGCAGCTCTCGTTGCCCCCCCCCCCCGACCCAGAAATGGACAAAGGGGTTGAAAATGAATGATTAGAAAAAAACAATAGAAAACAAAGAATTATGAAAACAAAAACACATCAAATAAAAACAGTTTGAAGAAGTGCTAAAGGCCATCTTATTTTTTTTATTTTTTTTTATTTTTTTTAATTTAATTTGTACATGTATGAAGAAAGGGGCAGGCAACATAAGATTTTTTTCTTCTTTCTGCTCCTTTTAATTTGTGAGACAAGACGACAATTATTTGAAATGTCATTGTAATATGTGTAGTATTGTTTTTGTCTACAATTGAAACAAATAAATAAAATGAAATGACACATTGGAATGGTGTGTGTGTAGGTGGGCATGTTTAAGATCCACCCCACTGTGCCTGAATGCATGTCGGACGAGGCCAAAGCTTTTATCATGAGATGTTTCGAGCCAAACCCGGACGACAGAGCCACGTCCTCTCAGCTGCTGGCCGAGTCCTTCCTCACCTCCCACAGAAAGAAGCCCAGACCTCCGCAAGACCCCGACGATCCCGGCTCCTCCTGTGAGTAAATTTAAAAAAAAAAAAAAAAAAAAAAAAAGTGGTACTGCAGCCTCTCCCACTCGCCCTGACTCGGGTTGCCAGATATGCAGACGAATCCGAAAGATTTTAGTCAACAACAAATCTATAACCAACACGTTTTTCACAGAGATAGAAATCCTGGGTTTATTCCTTGTTTTGTCGTTAATGATTTGAGAATCATAACGAGACCTTATTTAGTTCTGCGCCACATGGTACTTGGCGGCACGGTGGCTGAGTGGATAGCACTCTCGCCTCTCAGCAAGAAGGTCCTGGGTTCGAATCCCGGTCGGACCAGGGTCTTTCTGAGTGGAGTTTGCATGTTCTCCCCGTGTCTGCGTAGGTTTCCTCCGGGTACTCCGGTTTCCCCTACCACTAAAAATATGTCCAATAGTTCTGGCATGTGCCTCCTGTACTGGCCCCGCTCCCATCTCTGTGTGGAGTGAGAGACAAATGCCCAAAATTAACAATTGTAAACCGCTTTGAGACTCAGATCTGCAGTGAAAAGGCGGTATATAAATAAAAACGTACTTACTTACTTTACCAGTGAGATTAGCTCCACGCGGTGAGTTCTGGCGCCAGGATCACGGACTTTGATTGGTAAAAAGCTGGAAGGCGGGACATCGAAATGAAAACGGGCTGTGAAACTAATGTCGAAATTAAAATATCTCTGAACTACTGTTATTAGTTAAATAAGTATTGGAAAAAAGCATGTTTTTTTTATTTTTTACAGATTATGGCCCTTTTAATGACGACTTGACAATAAATTCTTACATGCTGCTACTTTAAGCATTAGTCACTGTTGCGTTTACACCCATCTAGTGTTTGGTTCTGGTTCTTAGGCGACTTCCACAGGAGTTTCTCGGTCCCCGTCTCTATCCTGGTGGAAGACGTGGAGGATTCCTACTCGGGCTTCGTGGACCTGTCCTCGTCCCTGGACCTGAGGCGACCCATGTCCGTCCTCAGAGTCGACGAGATCTTTGAAAGTCCCAGCAACACCAGCAGCTTCCTGTCGTGAGTTATGGAGTAGTTTAGGGACTTAAAGCTGCGGCACCTAACCTTCGCAACAGAAAGTCTTTTAAAATTATAGTCTGAGAGCTTAGTGTACATTAGTGTTAGCTTTAATGTGAAATGGGCTGATTTTAACATGAGCTAGCTGGAGGATGGAGCTGATTTCCTTATATGGGCATTTCTTTCATTAGCTTTGCACCATAAAGGGGCAGACATATTAAATGATAGAGATGACTTCCTTGAAATAAGACTAAATGGCTTTGTCCCATTTGGAGAATCCGGTTTTAACACAGTCAGAAAGTGCTAAGATAAAAACCTCTCCATTTAAGCATTATTACCTTGTTGATTTTTGCAGTGAAAAAGCTGGAGGCGTCTGATTGGTCAATTTCCTAAAATCATGTTCTATATGTAATCATTTCTTGCGGTCTTATGCGTGCAGTCTGTATCATAAACTATGTATGTTTGATTATGGATTTATTATTGATGAAGACCAAGAAGAAAATGTATTATAACACATTTTGTCCATATTTATGCAAATCCAAAGTGAAATGGCGTCCGCTTTACCGAGAAACTTGTAATGAGAGAGGTCGGATTCTCCAGCTACCCACGTTACACCAGTTTAATGTGTTTTCTGTGTTTACAAATTCCACACAGTTTTCTACCAGTGAATGATGCGTTCATTCTTATTTTTAATCAATCAACTTTTATATCACAAACATTAAAATCTACATATACAATTAAAATCCCACAGGGTTTACAAAAATACAATAAGAACATAAGAAATATTCAAAACATCAAAAATAAAATACACATGGAATTAAAATTATAGATAGATAGCCACAGTGCATTCTAAATCATTCAGTGGTATACACGGCTAAACCGAACGGTTTTAACTTAGATTTGAAGACTGCCCATTTTATACCAGTTTGACTAAACACAAAATCAACTTTTTTCAACTCATAAACTGCATAAGTATGTTTATTGTAGTGCTCTCTACATATCCTGGTCATTTTTTAGACATTTTAGTTCAAATTAGATGAAATATCACTTTTGAGACAAAAAATGCCTGTGTGGCGCCCTCTCTACCTTTTTGGTGGTACTGCATTTTAATTTGGTCCTGGCCTCTCCATTGACTCTGAAGTTCTCTATGACATCAGTTGTTTTGTGTGACGTCAGTCTGTCAGAGCCAGTGATATGAACCCATTCATCTCTCACACACGCCCCAGATGCAGTTGAGTATTCTGGCGCCATCTAGTGGATTAAAATTAAATTACATGAGTAATTCTGAGATTATTGAGTGTGATTAGGTTCAGGTGTGTAGCTTTACATTATCTTAGTGTGTAAACAAGGGTGGAATGAGACTTATTTATTTATTTTTAGTATTATTATATGTATTTATTTTATTATTTATGTATTTATTTTATTATTATTTATTTTATTTTATTATTATATTTTATTATATTATTATATTTTATTATTATTTATTTTAATTTATTTATTATTTATTTTATTTATTTATTATTTATTTATTATTATTTATTATTTAGTGTGATTAGGTTCAGGTGTGTAGCTTTACATTATCTTAGTGTGTAATCAAGGGTGGAATGAGACTTTCTGGTCTGTAAACTATTGCTTTAAGCAGCAATGACAACTGTCTGTTTTTTTTGTAAGACAAGTGAGCTGTCAATCACAGCCCAGACCACGCCCACCTCTAAGCCCCCCTTCTTGTCCCTTGGTCCTCCAGGCAACGCCCTTTTTAGAGAACATTTTCAAATCTTCATGTAAGGCTGGGCACAGGTGTTTAGTCACTCTTTAAGTTATTATACGTGTGTTTTAATGTCTGAAATGGCAGCAGTCCTGATGGTGTCTGACTTACGTGTTGTGGCGGTTGTCCAGGATCCCGGAGGACTCCCCTGTGGACCTGAGCAGCCCCTGTTCCTCGGGGGAGAGTATGGGTTTGTTCATGCTCCGGAAAGACAGCGAGAGACGAGCCACTCTCTACAGGGTCCTGACCGACTACATCGCCCTGGTGGTCTCACACATCCACGACACACAGGTACCTTCTGGGTTTATATAGATCCAAAATACATGGGAGAAATAGTGCAAATTATTATTACTATTATCATTGTTAGAACCACGATGTTTTAGAGCCAGGAACTATAGTTTTTGTTACGTGGTTTGAAAGTTATATTGCAAAAAAGGATCAAATATGAAATAATTATTGCTTGAATCAAGAGGTTTTTATCATATTCTGACACTTTCTGACTGTGTTGAAACAAGATTCTGGAAAAATCCATTTAGTCTTTTCTCGAGAACTGTCTTTAGTTTCTCATTCCATTGGAGACGGCTCATTTGTCCCGTTGGCAAATCTTGTTTTAAGGCTCAGTCAGAACGTGCTCAAATTAAATTATGCATTTTGTCAGCTTATAAGGGCGGGTCCTCCAGGTGAGTGCGTGCTGATTGGAGGACTGCCTCAGCTGCTGCCCAATCAGCACCCAGGCATCAGTCAATCAGCTCCAGGTGGGGAACGACTGGCCCAGGACTCAGCAGCGTGGTCTTCTGTAAAGGGAGAAATCACAAACACACAGAGACACCACGGGAGAAACTAAAGAGATCCTCAAAATAGTGAATTACGGGCCGTGGGTAATAACATGGGTACGACAGCTTGAAGTATTTTATTATTGTATTCATATCTTTTTGCCTGACTGGCTTGGTTTAAAGGAACAATATGTAAAAATCTGGCCAAAAGTGGTACTGCAGTCACAGTCAATATTTTGTAGTCCTCTCCCACTCTCCCTGACTCAGGTTGCCAGATTCACACCAAATCCAGCAGCAAACACAGGGAATTATTTTATCAGTTGTTTGTCCGTCTCCATTCACATTGCCATGACAGCCGTGCTAATGCTGAATGAATGTTTTGATTAATGTTTTTTTATTATTATTATTTGGACATTTGAGATAAAAAACAAAAACAAAATAAAAGCAATGTAATTATACATAGTTTATGCAAAATAAATAAGCAATTGATGTCCAAAATAGGAGTGGGAAGAATGGATGTTGGAACGTATTTCTTCAGCGTATCAACATCAGGGTTTGCTCAAGAGGATATCACCTTTCAATTTTATTTATTCCCTATTTTTTAGACAAACATGTAAAAGTCCCACATCAAAAAGAGACTAACATTATTTTAATTGGGGTACATGTGGTCTTAAATGATTATTTTTACAATTAAGCTATAATCTGCAAAAAAAACGTCTTGACCTTCATCTTTTACCGTTTTTAGAGCAATCTGTCATAGAATGTGATAACATGCAATAAATACAAAAAGACATAGCCCGGGATCGAACCCGGGTTCCTGCATCGTAAGCGCACAGTTTAGACCACTAGACCACCGGTTCACACGAAGAGAGGCACTGTGAAGAACGGAGTCAAACTAGAAAATTCTGCATCACACGTGAACTTTTATCAGCTGTCTCAATTGTTCAAAGGCATCCCGATATAAATCCTCGTTTTAGTCTTTGTTTTGTCATTAATGATTTGAGAGTCATCACAAGACCTTTTTTAGTTCTGCGCCACATGTTATTTTACCACTGAGATTAATGAGCCGCGCGGAGTTCTGGCAACCCGATCACGGACTTACATGACACTTCCTGATTGGCGAAACGGCGGAAGGTAGGACATCAACATCAAAACAATAACAACTTTTACGGGTCGTAAAACTAATTTTGATAATCAAATATCTCGGCTGAACTACTGTTATCAGTTAAAGATGAATTCGAGAAGAGTAGGATTTAATAACGCCTTTTGAAATATTCGGGTCATTTAATGATGACTTGACATGCAAATATTACATACTGCTCCTTTAAACACCCCAATTCGTGTTTCTTATGTAATATATTTGATTTCTCAGTTCAATAAAAAAAATTCTAGCTTTAAAAATTCCCAAAAAGGATGTGTTTTCCCTCCTCTTCCCATCATAGCGACCAAAACAGCGGACTACTTTCTTTCCCAGTGGTGATTTGAAGGAGCTGTGACTCTTTGCAGAGCGGGGATGGGCCGTGTCTCTCCGATGGCGACATCACTGAGCTCATTGGCGTCTTACGAAACAACATCCGCTCCCCAGACCGGAGGCAGCTGAGCACCGGCCTCCTGAGCCTCCGGAGAAGGCTCCTCTCTGATGAAGTACCACTGAACAGCCTGCAGGGGGTGCTCTTCAGCTTCCAGGACGCGGTGAGTCAGATACACACAGCTGTCGGAGCAGCGGGGGAACAGTGGAGGAAACTGTTTGAAAAGAATGCTTTACTTTTCTGTATTTGTGTGTGTTTTATTAAAATGTGTGTGTGTGTGTTTTTTAAATGTGTTTTTGTGTGTGTGTGTAGGTGAAAAAGGTCTTGAGACAGCAGCAGGTGAAGCCTCATTGGATGTTTGCGTTGGACAATCTGCTGAGACAAGCCGTGCAGGACGCCATCACAGTTCTTCTGCCAGGTACCATCTCTCTTCTGCATTTGTGTCTCTCCCTCTCTGTCTCGGTCTCTCTCTTTGGCATCTGTCGCTCTCTGTCTTGGTCTCGGTCTCTCTTTGGAATCTGTCCCTCTCTCTGTCTCGGCCTCTCTCTTTGGCATCTGTCTCTCTCTTGGTCTCTCTCTCTCTCTTGGTCTCTCTCTCTCTGGCCTCTGTCTCTCTTGGTCTCTCTCTCTGGCCTCTGTCTCTCTCTTGGTCTCTCTCTCTCTGGCCTCTGTCTCTCTCTTGGTCTCTCTCTCTCTGGCCTCTGTCTCTCTTGGTCTCTCTCTCTCTGGCCTCTGTCTCTCTCTTGGTCTCTCTCTCTCTCTTGGTCTCTGTTTTGGCATCTGTCTCTCTCTTGGTCTCCCTCTCTCTCTTGGTCTCCCTCTCTCTCTTGGTCTCTCTCTCTCTGGCCTCTGTCTCTCTTGGTCTCTCTCTCTCTGGCCTCTGTCTCTCTTGGTCTCTCTCTCTCTGGCCTCTGTCTCTCTCTCTCTGGCCTCTGTCTCTCTCTTGGTCTCTCTCTCTCTGGCCTCTGTCTCTCTCTTGGTCTCTCTCTCTCTCTGGCCTCTGTCTCTCTTGGTCTCTCTCTCTCTGGCCTCTGTCTCTCTCTTGGTCTCTCTCTCTCTCTCTCTCGGTCTCTCTCTCTCTGGCCTCTGTCTCTCTTGGTCTCTCTCTCTGGCCTCTGTCTCTCTTGGTCTCTCTCTCTCTGGCCTCTGTCTCTCTCGGTCTCTCTCTCTCTGGCCTCTGTCTCTCTCTTGGTCTCTCTCTCTCTCTGGCCTCTGTCTCTCTCTTGGTCTCTCTCTCTCTCTTGGTCTCTCTCTCTCTGGCCTCTGTCTCTCTAGGTCTCTCTCTCTCTGGCCTCTGTCTCTCTCTTGGTCTCTCTCTCTCTGGCCTCTGTCTCTCTCGGTCTCTCTCTCTCTGGCCTCTGTCTCTCTCTTGGTCTCTCTCTCTCTCTTGGTCTCTGTTTTGGCATCTGTCTCTCTCTTGGTCTCCCTCTCTCTCTTGGTCTCTCTCTCTGGCCTCTGTCTCTCTTGGTCTCTCTCTCTCTGGCCTCTGTCTCTCTTGGTCTCTCTCTCTCTGGCCTCTGTCTCTCTCTCTCTGGCCTCTGTCTCTCTCTTGGTCTCTCTCTCTCTGGCCTCTGTCTCTCTCTTGGTCTCTCTCTCTCTGGCCTCTGTCTCTCTCGGTCTCTCTCTCTCTGGCCTTTGTCTCTCTCTTGGTCTCTGTCTCTCTCTTGGTCTCTGTTTTGGCATCTGTCTCTCTCTTGGTCTCTCTCTCTTTGGTCTCCCTCTCTCTCTTGGTCTCTCTCTCTCTGGCCTCTGTCTCTCTTGGTCTCTCTCTCTCTGGCCTCTGTCTCTCTCTTGGTCTCTCTCTCTCTCTGGCCTCTGTCTCTCTCTTGGTCTCTCTCTCTCTGGCCTCTGTCTCTCTTGGTCTCTCTCTCTCTGGCCTCTGTCTCTCTCTTGGTCTCTCTCTCTCTGGCCTCTGTCTCTCTTGGTCTCTCTCTCTCTGGCCTCTGTCTCTCTTGGTCTCTCTCTCTCTGGCCTCTGTCTCTCTCGGTCTCTCTCTCTCTGGCCTCTGTCTCTCTCTTGGTCTCTCTCTCTCTCTGGCCTCTGTCTCTCTCTTGGTCTCTCTCTCTCTCTTGGTCTCTCTCTCTCTGGCCTCTGTCTCTCTTGGTCTCTCTCTCTCTGGCCTCTGTCTCTCTCTTGGTCTCTGTCTCTCTCTTGGTCTCTCTCTCTCTCTGGCCTCTGTCTCTCTCTTGGTCTCTCTCTCTCTCTTGGTCTCTCTCTCTCTGGCCTCTGTCTCTCTTGGTCTCTCTCTCTCTGGCCTCTGTCTCTCTCTTGGTCTCTCTCTCTCTGGCCTCTGTCTCTCTCTTGGTCTCTCTCTCTCTGGCCTCTGTCTCTCTTGGTCTCTCTCTCTCTGGCCTCTGTCTCTCTCGGTCTCTCTCTCTCTGGCCTCTGTCGCTCTCTTGGTCTCTCTCTCTCTGGCCTCTGTCTCTCTCTTGGTCTCTGTCTCTCTCTTGGTCTCTCTCTCTCTGGCCTCTGTCTCTCTCTTGGTCTCTGTCTCTCTCTTGGTCTCTCTCTCTCTGGCCTCTGTCTCTCTCTTGGTCTCTGTCTCTCTCTTGGTCTCTCTCTCTCTGGCCTCTGTCTCTCTTGGTCTCTCTTGGTCTCTCTTTCTCTGGCCTCTGTCTCTCTCTTTCTCTGGCCTCTGTCTCTCTCTTGGTCTCTCTCTCTCTGGCCTCTGTCTCTCTTGGTCTCTCTCTCTCTGGCCTCTGTCTCTCTTGGTCTCTCTCTCTCTGGCCTCTGTCTCTCTCTTGGTCTCTCTCTCTCTGGCCTCTGTCTCTCTTGGTCTCTGTCTCTCTCTCTCTCTGGCCTCTGTCTCTCTCTTGGTCTCTCTTTCTCTGGCCTCTGTCTCTCTTGGTCTCTCTCTCTCTGGCCTATGTCTCTCTCTTGGTCTCTGTCTCTCTCTTGGTCTCTCTCTCTCTGGCCTCTGTCTCTCTTGGTCTCTCTCTCTCTGGCCTCTGTCTCTCTCTTGGTCTCTCTTTCTCTGGCCTCTGTCTCTCTCTTTCTCTGGCCTCTGTCTCTCTCTTTCTCTGGCCTCTGTCTCTCTCTTTCTCTGGCCTCTGTCTCTCTCTTGGTCTCTCTCTCTCTGGCCTCTGTCTCTCTTGGTCTCTCTCTCTCTGGCCTCTGTCTCTCTCTTGGTCTCTCTTTCTCTGGCCTCTGTCTCTCTCTTGGTCTCTCTCTCTCTGGCCTCTGTCTCTCTTGGTCTCTCTCTCTCTGGCCTCTGTCTCTCTCTCTCTCTGGCCTCTGTCTCTCTTGGTCTCTCTCTCTCTGGCCTCTGTCTCTCTCTTGGTCTCTCTCTCTCTGGCCTCTATCTCTCTTGGTCTCTCTCTCTCTGGCCTCTGTCTCTCTCTTGGTCTCTCTCTCTGGCCTCTGTCTCTCTCTTGGTCTCTCTCTCTCTGGCCTCTGTCTCTCTTGGTCTCTCTCTCTCTGGCCTCTGTCTCTCTCTTGGTCTCTCTCTCTCTGGCCTCTGTCTCTCTCTTGGTCTCTCTCTGTCGCTCTCTCTCTCTCTGGCCTCTCTGTCTCTTAGTCTCTCTCGTGGTCTCACGCTCTGGCCTCTCCTTCTCTCTATATATCTATCCCATTGTTGTTGCACTGTTTGTCTCTCTCTCCCTTTCTGTCTCTCTCACTCTGTCTCTCTCTGTCTCTCTCTCTCACTCTGTCTCTCAGATTGTCTTTGTTCTTGGCCCCACATCACGGTGAGAACAGGACTCTCAGGGGCTACAGGACCCTCTCTCTCTCCTTCAGCCCCTACTCTCTTTCTCTCCCTAATGCTTTGTACTAACACAAAGACACTCTTTTGTGCCAGAGCTCAAACTGGAGCTGCAGTCTTCCTTTGAGGTTGAAGACTGCAGTCCTGAGGAGCCGCCCGATGACGACGATACCCCGGTGGCGAACGTCCCGGAGCAGCTCGAGGACCGCCACAGGCCCACGTTCAACCGGACCCCAAGTCCCCTCTCGGACCCCAGCTCTCCCCTCAGCGAGTCTTTGAGAGATCTGAGACTGGAGACGAGCAGGTACGTTCCCTCACTGAGACAAACTGGTGATGAGACTGATCCACCTTTTCCTTCCTGCTGCTGTCAGACTGTACAATGAACAATGAGGGCTTACTAACACTCCTGACCTGATCTCACAAATGTCGTGTGCAATAATAATAATTTTATTTCTATTGCACCTTTTTCCAGAAAACCGCTACAGATTAAAATTAGTAAGTAACATGAAGGGGTTAAACTAATGTCAGAATATGCACATTTTTTTATTCATTGCAATAGATTAGAATATACAGCACTTTAAACTGGCTTCTTTATTATGCTAAAGCTAGAGATTGTATACTTTTTAATTATGCTAAAGTTTGCGTTTTTTTTTTTTTTTTAGCTTCTTTTATGATGCTAAAGCTAGATATTTGATACTTGCTTCTTTTGAGGAATTGTTCATTTATCTGCTCTGTGTAACTCGTGTTGCAACACTGACATTTCCCCGCTGTGGGACAAATGAAGTATGTCTTAATTTGAACCTAAATGACGTGCACTGCAAAAAATGATCAAATATGAGATCATAATTGCTAGAATCGAGTTTTTTTTAACTTGACTTAAGTTCATTCTGACTGTCTTAAAATGAGATTTGCCAATGAGACAAGCAATTTTGACTTGATTCAAGAACTATTGCTTTATTTTCTCATTCCAAGAGAGAAATATCTTGTATCTTTTTAAAACAAGACCATTTTTCTTGTTCCACTGTTTTAAGGCAGTCAAAATGTGCTCATATTTAGATACATTTAGCCAAATTTTAGCATTTTTTGGTCTTTAATTCTGTCATCTTTTGCAGTGTGAGGTTCTTTTGCTGGTCCTTTGTGCTGAGTAAGGAGGTCCTTTCCTTTTGCAGATTGCTGATGCAGCTGAGTGAGAAGGAGCAGGAGTACCAAGCCTTACTGAGGAAGTCCCTCCAGAGGAAACTGCAGCAGATCGAGGCGTTCAAGAGCTCGTCCGACGGCAGCAGCGGTAAACACCAGGAGACATAACATTACATTAATGTGTGAATGTGTAAGATACAGACCACTTCAACAGGTGCAGAATGAAGTACAGTGTATTCTGGCTCAGCCCAAACATCCTCTGATCGCTGACTTTGTATTGATGCCTTCAGGGCGTCGTTTTTATGCTCCAGCTCGGAAAGCAAACCGTTTTTCCAATTCTTTTGTGCATCTGCCATAAAACTGAACTCTGGTAGTGGGGCTTCGGCACGGTGGCTGAGTGGACAGCCCTCTCACCTCAGCAAGAGAGTCCTGGGTTCGAATCCCGGTCGGAACAGGACGTTACTGGGTGGAGTTTGCATGTTCTCCCCGTGTCTGCGTAGGTTTCTTCCAGGTGCTCCGGTTTCCCCTACCACTAAAACATTCACACTAGGTATAAGCCTCCCGCTCTGGTCCTGACCAAGCCGAGCATCAACATCTGGAGATGGTTCCCGAGTGCTGTTACTACGGCGACCACTGCTCCTGACGTCAGCCTTAGCGGCATCAGGATGGGTCAAATACAGATGACAAATTGTAAAATAAAGTGCAAATTTATTTTTGTGTGTGTGTGCTACAAATGAATTTCCCTTTGGGAGCAATACAGTTTTCTGAATCAAATGTAATTATACTTCCCAAACTAAAAGCCGTCGTTCAGGGAGTTATAGTTTTAAAATGACCTTCTCTATATCCTTTTCCTCTTGTGAATGCGTGAGCAGACATTATCTCAAAACTGCAACAACAGAGACACTTAATGAATGTTTACATTATTACTCATCTTTCTGTTTGCTTCAGTTCTTGCCGCTCCCTGTCTGCGGGCGAGTGTTTGTTTAATGATTATCACAACTGTCAATGTCTTCTTTTAACACTGGAAAAGTCTGAGCAGGAAAAATGGGGCTTTTAATAATAATAATGATAATAATAATAATGCTTTGTTTTGGTTTTTTTAAACGCTGTTTTGGACACTTTTAGTTTTGGAAGTGTGATTTCTGAGCCTGGACTTCATAACTTTGACTTTTTCGGTTTCTGGTTTATTTCTTTGTCATGACTTTTATGAAATGATGTTATATCTTTTGAAGTAGATCTGCTCTAAACTCTACACTTCAGAGCTCGCCCTTTTCACTCGCTTGGTAACCAACTTTCTGTAGTAATCTCTCAGAGTTCCATGGGTTTGAGTGTGAGCAGTCAAAATGACGGCTGTGGGAGTAGTTTCTGACTCCACTGTTAATGTCTCTGTTGTAGAGGAGGCGTCCGCTCCTCAGACCAGCTCCAGTCCAGAGGCGTCCGCTCCTCAGACCAGCTCCAGTCCAGAGGCGAGGGCCATGGTCCGCTGGCTCAAGTCCGTCCACGTCGACTCGGACACAACGGACAAAGTGGGTCTCAGGAAACAAAGAATAAACGACAGAATGAAAAGTTTTACCGTCGTTTTTCCTTCACATTTGTGTTTTTGCAGCTTCTGTCTCATGAGTTCACGGTGGAGGTGCTGCTGGGCGTGGCCTGCAGGGACGACCTGCTTTACTGCGGGATCAAGTATGCTAGCACACACACGCACGCACACTTACACACAATGACAGTCTTACACACACCCAGCCTCAAAAAGACAAACACACACATGACACTCAGGCAGACACACAATACATATTTCAAAAGTTCATTAACTGCATATTCTAGCTTCACCGTCCATGGTTACAGACGTAAATTTGCGAAAGCGGACAGCTCTAGTTCAGGGGTGTCCAAACTTTTGATTAAGAGGACCACTCCAGTGAACCAGGCTGCCTGTGTTTTGTTATTTCAACAAATACAAACCTCTGACTTCCAGATTTGTTTGAGCCTTTGATCCTGTGCCAGCGTCTTCATAAACATCGCATCAGTCGCTGTTTACTGAGATTCAGACTCTGCTGCAGCTCGAGTCCTGACTAGACCCAGGAAGTACCACCACATTAGTCCTGACTAGAACCAGGAAGTACCATCAGATTAGGAAGTACCATCACATTAGTCCTGACTAGAACCAGGAAGTACCATTACATTAGACCTGACTAGAACCAGGAAGTACCATTACATTAGACCTGACTAGAACACACACACACATACACACACACACCTCGTACTTATTGTGAGTGTTTTCTTTCAGGGGGGGCATGCTGTGTCGTCTGTGGGCGGCCATCTTGTCCCACCGGAGGACACAGCTGAGCACTCGCAGCGAGGAGAGAGAGGACGCCACGTTCTGATGCTGCTCGCCGTTTCCATGGACACCATTATTGACAGGTCAACGCAGACACCGGGGCTCCTGCTGCTGCTGTACAGAGAGTCCAGACATTTCTATTTTGTATTTGTACAGAATTTTGTTCATGTTATGAATCTATGAAAGTCTTACACAGTGCCTTTCTCTAATCCAAAACTTGGCGGGATCTAAGTTGTTTATTTTATATTATTTCTTGGTGAAAAGCACTAAGTCCACACAATTTTAGATATATAGACACACGATTTTGAAATGTATTTGCCATTTTTGCACACATCCCATACACACTGTTTACAAATACAGGTGAAACTCGGGAAATTTGAACACAAAAAGTTATTTCTGTGATTAAACTTGTAATTTAACTTTTACACACAAACTGACAGATGCCAAGTCCAGACCATTTTCAAAACATTCAAAATTTAGTTGGATTTTGTTTCAAGCTAAGAGCCATAGTTAAAGGAGCAGTGTGTAAACATGTGGCCAAAAGTGGTACTGCAGCCTCTCCCACTCTCCCTGACTCAGGTTGCCAGATATGCAGACGAATCCAGCTGGGACCATAACAGCTGAATAGACAAGAGTTTTGTCAACAACAAATCTATAACCAACACCTTTTTCACAAAGATAGAAATCCTGGTTTTATTCCTTGTTTTGTCGTTAATGATTTGAGAATCATAACGAGACCTTTTTTAGTTCTGCGCCACATGGTACTTTACCAGTGAGATTAGCTCCACGTGGTGAGTTCTGGCGCCCGGATCACGGACTTTCTGATTGGTGAAACGGTGGAGGGCGGGACATCGAAATGAAAACAATAACAAGATTTAGAGGCTGGAAAACTATTTTAGAAATTCAAATATCTCTGAACTACTGTTATCAGTTAAAGAAGTATTGGAAAAGAGCATGTTTTATTAACGCCTTTGACAGATTAGGGCCCTTTAATGATGACAGATTAGGGCCCTTTAATGATGACAGATTAGGGCCCTTTAAGAGAGATTAAGGACCTTTAATGATGACAGATTAGGGCCCTTTAATGATGACAGATTAGGGCCCTTTAATGATGACAGATTAGGGCCCTTTAATGATGACAGATTATGGCCCTTTAATTAAGACAGATTAGGGCCCTTTAATGATGACAGATTAGGGCCCTTTAATGATGACAGATTAAGGCCCTTTAATGATGACAGATTATGGCCCTTTAATGATGACAGATTAAGGCCCTTTAATGATGACAGATTAGGGCCCTTTAATGATGACAGATTAGGGCCCTTTAATGAAGACAGATTAGGGCCCTTTAATGATGACAGATTAGGGCCCTTTAATGAAGACAGATTAGGGCCCTTTAATGATGACAGATTATGGCCCTTTAATGATGACAGATTAGGGCCCTTTAATGATGATTGATTAGGGCCCTTTAATGATGACAGATTAGGGCCCTTTAATGATGACAGATTATGGCCCTTTAATGATGACAGATTATGGCCCTTTAATGATGACAGATTATGGCCCTTTAATGATGACAGATTAGGGCCCTTTAATTTAGATTAGGGCCCTTTAATGATGACAGATTAGGGCCCTTTAATGATGACAGATTATGGCCCTTTAATGATGACAGATTAGGGCCCTTTAATGATGACAGATTAGGGCCCTTTAATGATGACAGATTAGGGCCCTTTAATGATGACAGATTAGGGCCCTTTAATGATGACAGATTAGGGCCCTTTAATTAAGATAGATTAGGGCCCTTTAATGCTGACAGATTAGGGCCCTTTAATGATGACAGATTAGGGCCCTTAAATGATGACAGATTAGGGCCCTTTAACGATGACAGATTAGGGCCCTTTAATGACGACATGACATGAAAATCTTACATATTGCTGCTTCAACATCTTAAGGCTTGATATAGCTCTTTGCCTGTAGTGAGTCTGTCATTTGTGATTTGACTTAAAAAGTTAAATTAATAAAAGTAAATGGACTTTTGAACAATATTCTAGTTTTCTGAGTTTCACCTGTTCCTGCTTCACTTCAGCTTCAGCTCAACTCGTCTCAGCTACAAAACTGAAAGGGTTTTGGGTCTAATGCCTTTGGATTGATTTCCTAAAATACATTCACTCGCCCTTCCCCCGGTTAGCAAACAAGCTAACAAAGACAGCAAAAACCATGACGTACATACAACACTGGGACTAAACACTGACAAAGACAAGTCATTTTACATTATAAGGACAAGAAAATATAGATATGTGGGTTTAAAAAAGTAAAAGTAAATAAAGATACTTGTAAAAACTACAGTAAAGTTACTACAGGACAGAATACTTAGTTACTTCAGTCTGGCAGTAGTGCGCGGGGTGTGTTCCCAAATTCCCGGTGAGTTTCTTCATCTGTTTTTTGTCTTGTTGTCGTCGCCATAGAAACGGCTGCAGAGCACATGTTGACAATCTCTTGGCCGATCTTCCCAGACGACGGAGAGACTGAGCTCAGATGTGTTAGAACGAAAATGGAACAATCCTGTGATGATGATCTTATGTCAAAATGATAATAGTTTGATTTAAAAAAAAAAAAATTCAATTTCTTTGGTGTTTTGTTATTTTGATAAAAAAAAGACTGTTACAACTTTTCAATAAAACATAGGAAATGCCTTTATAAAAAACTTGAATGAATTAATAAAAATGGTAGAATGATTGCCCAAAGACCTTGAGCTTCCTAAAAAATGTGAGTTTTGAGGAAAATTAAGTTTAATAGAATTATATTTGTTCTATAATGTGTTTGTTCAGTTATTCTCCAAACCTTAGATATCCAATCAGCTATGTTTTAATTAACCAACTATCATAATGTAATGTATTGAAAACAGGAAACTCCCTCACTTTAAGTCCACCCCTCCCTCCATTTTCTTCCGCTTCATCCGTTGCAGAGTCGCTGGGGCAGTCCTTTCTTGGGTTTCCACGCGCACGCACGCACACACAACAAACCTACACAGACACACACACACAACAAGCCTACACACTATGACATGACGTGATGTGTTGCTGCAGGAGTAATCCTACTCCGTACGAGAGGATCCTAAAGTTCAGATGGTGGCTCCCTCACCCATATTAATGCCTAATGTCACCCTACTCCCTGGTCCACTGTCCTGGGTGAATGGACATAACTGAGGTGAGTTATGGACTTAACTTAATCGTTCTCCATGTGGTGCTTGAATGCAGGCTGAACAGGGCGCTTTCCCCGACACTTTGACACTCTTTACACAAGTCATCAGTGTCTTTTCAACAGTGTTAACTTCAGAAGGTGACCGTGACTTTCTCCCTGATTCTGGAGAAAGAAGAATAAAGCAATTTATCAGAAACACACTCCCGGCAGTCTGTGTCCCAGCACATGGCTTTATCTGGGGGTGTGTGGGGTGCCCTGGCCAGACCTATGGTGGTGGTGATGAGGAGGGAGAGCTGACCCCACACGGGGGGCTCTTCCTGGGGGGGTGTGGCAGAGTGAAGTGGCCTGGTGCTGGAGGAATAGCTCACCAGACGATGTTGCAGCATGTGGCTGAATGGTTATTGGCTCTGAAGTTCCTTTCGTCCCCTCTGTTTCAGGATCAACCTTTGATCATTTCTCTTTACCACATAGAGAAAAGATTTTTAGTTTCATAAAAAGGCAACATGTGGATATTGATAATTACCATGAGGATGAATTTGGATTTGATCCAGGCTTTTCCCTCTGAATTCAGAAATTCTGCCTTGCTCCAAGGCCAGCAATACTTTCCCGACCTTTGACACCTCCAGTGTTCTTTGCAGTAGTCGTTAATATTGCCGATGGATCCGGTTGTTGTGACCCAGAAAACTTTCCAGTGTGTCCTGCTCGTGTTCTTTCATGTTGAGTGCAGCTGACCGGGTCGAGATCTGTTTTCAAAGCCTGGTTGATGACAAAATCGTGAGATTTTTGGCTCCACATTCATGGGCGAGCCGCCTTTTTGCGTCCAAATCCCGCATATATGTAGACGTGCCCGGCCTTGCAAAAAAGTATAGATTATCATTTGAGACAGAACCAGCCGCCCGGTTCTTCACCAATAGCTCCATGGCCTCGACCATTTCTGAGGTCAAGAGAAGCGGAACCCTACGGCCTCTCTTCCCCCTGATTTCAATCCGTTCAAAATGCCGACAGAGCATTCTCTGTGGTTCAGACAGACCCAAGGCCACTTCAGAATTTACCCCACTCTCACTTCTCAAAGTAAAGGCTGTGACGGGCATCTTGGACACCTCACCCTCCCTGCGTTGGTTGAAAGTGATGATTTCACACAAGGTTTATTCGGTTAGTTTCGTCCAGTGTTTACGGTCGAGTGTATTATTTACATATTTTCTGCGACATTGGTCCATGTGTGAGTGCTACGGCACTCTCAGTGGCACGTTCTCGCCAAATGACGGGACATTTTGTGGCATGAGGCCGCAGTAGACACAAATGCTGTTTGCTCTAAATCCGAGAACCGGAGGCTTTTTTTCTTCATTTTCATAACAATCTTATTTGAATTGGATTCTTCATCCTGAGTCTTGAAAAAAACACATTCTTAGCTTTCCTTTTTCGGAACTTTTTGACAGTCTTTTTATATGGTATGCCTAAATCTGTGCCCTCCGTAGAATCTTCTCTTATGAATCGCCTGACAGATTCTCAAGCTGCATGGGCAGAAATAAATGTAATAATTGCAAAGAACATTTCTACTCATAACTTTTAGTGAACACTTACCTTAGGCTGTGAAAGGTATCAGTGTCCTCCATGCTTCCCTCCCAATGCCGCAGCTGCACTAGACTGCTCCAGCCACACCTCCATGGGGGGGCGCCGTGACTCGCTGCTGCCTTGTGGTGCTCCACCCACAAAAGTCGGTCCCCACGTTGTAAGTGAAAGTTCTGGCTAAGGACCCCATCAGGCTAAAAACTAGAGCGCACACACACACGCAGACACACACACACACAACAAACCTACGCCGACACGGGGAGAACATGCAAACTCCACTCA